GAGAGAGAGAGAGAGAGAGAGAGAGAGAAGCACTCCCCCAACAGGACCTGGTCAAGCTATAGTTGTTTTTCCTTCCAGTTCTCCACCTTTTCTGGATGTTGGGCAGTCACACATGCCCAGCATTAAAGCCATTAAGGTTGAGATTCGAACCCTGGCTGGCCACATGGGATGTGATTTCTTTTACACATCACTTAACTGCTGCACTACCGAGGGCTGCCCACCCCCAGTTCTGTTAGTAACTTATATTCCATAAACCTTTTTTTTAACAAATCTCTTTGAAGCTTCTAGTCACTTATCCATCCCTCCTTTTTATTTCACCCAATTTGTCCAACTCTGGCCCTACTTGATTCTTTCTCTACCCCACACCTCGGTCTATAATCCCCACGTTAATGCATCTTTGTTCTGTCTATAGTGATTCTCAAACATGAATCTAAGAATCATGTAAGAGTTTAAAATTTGAGCACGTTCTTTGGGCATTGCCCTTCTTATGCTGCAGGTCAAAAATAGAGACCCAGGCATCTACGTTTAACATGGACCTCAGATTTGGAAACCAGTGACTGAAGAACTAGAAGAGACATTGGATTGGAGCAAATTCCATTAAAAATACCATGTCCACATGGTAGCTTTTTGTCAGTACATATTTTCCCATTCAGTAGACAGTAAAAAGCCAGATATTCTTATGTGGGGAGATTTCTCTCTCTCTCTCTCTCTCTCTCTCTTTTTACATTAAAAAGGGAGCCTCATAGCAAAAATGAAACAAATGAAACCATCATTCCATACAATAAAATCCAGCCAGGTGGCACAGAAGTTAAGGTGGCTGGCTCCTCCATGGCCAACTCTGAGGTTCAAATCCCATACCTGGAAGCTTGAAAATCACACTGGGTACATGTGGGTGCATGCCCAAAATCCCAAGAGGAGAATGGAGGAGAAGGGATTGTAGTGTGGCCATCCCCTCTGGGGGATAATTTCTCACTTTTTTTGGTTTGTCTCTCTACTGAGCGCACATGACTTAGAGCAAAAACTTTAAAAAAAAATAATCCAAATTCCTTAAGAGAATACACAGTGGACACCTTCTATGGCCTAGATTTCTAAGCACACTTCTATTATACAACTTTGTGATGATTCCTACTATTAATTCCTGATGTGCTCTCAATTCATCATAACAATATTCAAGAGTATCCTAAATTTTCAGATTTAGGAGGGTACCTTAGAGATAAGAATTAAATTCCTTAATTTTGCAGAGAAAGACGTCCTCTATGTGCATGTTGTTTGTCTCCTGATAAACACCATACCCATACTATTTCTTAATAATTTAATACCAACCAAGGATGTAAAATCGCTAAAGAATTCTCCAAAAACTCAGAGAGCGAGTTTCAGTTTGATTCCCCTTTCTCATGTAGGTCTCCATGCACAAGTGGTACCACTAAATACAGTGATAAATTCAGAGCTTCAGGAGCTAATAATTCATTTTGCAGATAGGATGCAGATTTGCTTCTGCAGATGCATTTTTTAAAACCCTCAAGAATGAAAGCAGAGCATCTGAAGTTTAGCCCTTTAACCATATCAAGAAATCTTAATGATGTTGATAGCAACAACAGCTAACATGTACTGCCTCCTTTGTTCTTCGCATTGTGCTGAGCACTTTTACATCATTATCTCCCTTGGTTCTCTTTTAAGTAAGGTAGTAGTCACTACTGTCTTGTCACTACTGTCTTCACTGAAGAGTTAAATCCTGGTGAAGACACATTAAAGACCTGCTCAACGTCCCACGGGTAAACGCTTCCTCAGGTATTATCACCGTCCAGTTGGAGGCAATCTCCATGCACTGACCTCGTTCATCCTGTCCCTGCCCTCCAGGTGGCCAGACAGGGGACATATTGGCTGGCCTGCCCTAGCCCTCACCCTCCGGCCAGCGGTCAGGCCGCACTCACGTTCAGCAGCCGGGTCCCGGTGCCCTCCTGCTCCTTGTCCTTGGACGGGGCGCCCTTGCCATGATGCTGGGTAGACCGGACGGAGGAATACTCAGACCCTCTGGCATGTGTGACATCCGGTCCGCCATGCAGGCCCTTGTGAAGCACAGATGTGAACAGGGGCTGGACCGGCCCGGTGCGGTTATCGGTTGCGATGGAAAGCCTGTTGTGGATCGGCTCCATCCCTCCATCCTCCGCAAGTACCTGTCTGCGTCTAACCGACAGCGCAGCCCCCACTGCGCAGGCGCGACCCTCTCCCCGCCTTTCCCGCTTTCCCGCGTTTTTCTGGCGAGTGGGTGCACCGGCTGAGCTCCTGCTGCAGGGCTGGGGACTGGGAGCTGGCTTGAGGGACCGGGTGAATGCAAGATGAAGGAATCTTTAAGGTCTGCTTCAAGCACTTACCAGGCCATTTCGATCTCCTTTACAAGGAAGTCAGGGGGCCAGCAGATGGCATAGTGGTTACTGTGCTGGATTCCCACATGGCCCACCATGGTTGCTATCCTACGTGCCCAAGATCCCAGGAGGACAATGGAGGGGGAAGGATTGCGGAACGACCAACCCCTCACCTCCATGGGGATGGGAGTAGTGATGGGATGGTTTCTTACTTTCCCTCTTGCTTTCTCTCACTGTGGGGGGAGGGGGGAAAGGAAAGGGAGGGGAAGGGAGAGGAGAAAAAAGGCAGTCAGTATGCTGGTGGACAACAAATCTCAGCATGAACTACCTTAGCCATTGTCTGCCGTTTAACCCCTCAGGAGCCCTCTTTTGCACCATTTCTTTCCAGAAGATGTACAATATCGATCACTTTCTGAACACTATTCCCCGAGTTCCAGATGTCACGTTACTGAAACCCAGCAAGGACCCCCTAATGTATTTTCTAAGGTTCTTGAAATATAAGGTCTATTTACATTGTAATGGCCCAGAGTAATGGGTAAATCTTGAGACTATGCTTATGGTAACAACTTTGGTTATCAAGAATACCCACAAAATGATCACACCCTCTTGAACCAATTATTGAACTGATCATACGCCTGGGACCTCTATCCCTTATTTTGCCGTTAAAAAATGCATATGGGGAACATCTCGGGGAGATCGGGTCTTTTCAGCATGAGCTGCCCGCTCTCCTTGCTTTGTGCTTTGCAATAAAGCTGTACTTTCCTTCATCACACCATGTGCCTATGGCTTGGTTTTATAGCGCTTGGGTCAGGATCTAAGGGGCACGCACACACATGCGCCCAGTGTGAGTTTAAGCCACTGGGTCCAGGATTTGAACCACGGTCGACTACTGGGAGTCCGGCAACATAACCATTACGCCAACTCTGGTCCTGAGCGAACTTGATTTGAGTTCGATAACAATTCCAATTCCACTTGGGCATCTTCACCTGACTCTTTCACAGACACACAACATAACACATTGGTATTCATCTCCCCTCCTAAACCTCTAGAATGCTCCAAACTCATGTGATGTAGGAAATGCCACATCCAAAAACATCTTAAAAATTCAGACCCGGTTTTGGATTCTAACCCCAAATAGTTGAACCTTTTGCTCTTTATGTCACCTAGTTGGAGTCATATCACACACAGATAACTACAATGATTTACTCATGGGTTTCTCAGCCTGCTCTCATCCCTTTCTTCCATTGCTCAAGCATTATTACAGTTTTACCATTAAAAGCAAGCAAAAAACAAAACTTCAAGGACTTCTTTATTGGTTACAAGATTTTAACTTCTTAATATGAAAGCAGAAGGCCTCCAAAATATACTTTCCTTTATCAGGATCGTTATTTATTGCTATTCTATTTGAAATCTATTCTTTTATTCAAGGGTCAACTTAAATATCAGCTTTCAGTTATGTTTTATAACTCCATACACATACCCCAAAGGCAGAATTACCTGCTGTCTCCAAGCTACTAGTTGGCATATCCTTAGTGGGGACTATTAGCTGCTAATTTCAAAAGATAATATCCTTTGAGGGCACCCTGTGCTCTTTAGGGAACATGGCATGGTATCTCAAGGCCAATAATAGATGTTTGTTGTCAGTTTGGGTGTGTCATGTTCAAGCGCTGTGCCTGAGACTTGCTCTCCACCTGCTCACTCTGACTTCTTTAGGGTTCATGTGTGCAATACAAACTACCCAGTAGCATAAATGAAGTAATATTATTTTAACAATATCTAATCTAAATCGAATCAAACTACTGGACTTAAATGCCAATTTGTAGCAAATTCAGGAGATTGAAGACCCAATTAAATAATGCCACTAGGAGAAAAAATAAAATCCAAATTATAGGTGAGATGCTCCAAAAAAAAAAAAACTAGCTTGGACTTAAAAAAATGGTCATGAAAATATAATATGGTACAGCCCCTCTGGAAAACAGTTTGGTGGTTTTTAAAGGAACTAATTGAGTGACTACCATACAACCCATAAATCACACTCCTGGGCATTTATCCCAGAGAAATAAAAACTTATATTCACACTAAAACCTATATACAAATGCTCACAGCAGCTTTATTCGTAACAACCGACACCTAGGATCAGCTCCAATGTCTTTCAACAGGGAATGCCAAAACAAACTGCAGTACATGGCGTCAGCAGTTAGTATAATTGCTATGTTGCTGAACTCCCATGTAGTTGACTGTGGTTCGAGTCCCAGACCTGGTGACTTAAACTCACATTGAACAGGTCTAAGTGCGTGCCCAAGATCCTGAGAGGAGAATGCAGGAGAAGGGATTACGGCAAGGCCATCCCCATCCCCCCAGGAGGTGATTTCTCACTTTCTGTCTCTGTCTCTGTCTTTCTGGTGAGCACACATGTCCTATAGCAAAAACCTCTGAAAAAAAAAAATTGCTGAACTCCCACATAGCTGACCACAGTTCGAGTCCCAGACCCAGTGGCTTAAACTCATGCCGGGTGCAAGTGCATGCATGCCCAAGATCAAGAGGGGGGAATGGAGGAGAAGGGATTGTGGTGTGGCCATCCCCCCCAGGGGGGAGATTTCTCGCTTTTTATCTCTGTGTCTCTGTCTTTCTGGCGAGCGCACGTGCCCTATAGCAAAAACCTCACTGCAGTACATACATACCTGGAAACAGTACTCAGCAATGAAAAGGAATGAACTATCAGTAAACACAAAAACTTGAATGAATCTCCATGGGGCTACGCTGAACATGAAAAGAAAAAAAGGTCCAAAATATTACATGCTATATAATTCAATTTATCAACTGAAAAAATAGAGAATAGACGTGCTATTGCATATTATAGAATTATTGTTTTGCAGCTATCTTAATAAGATTGTGCTTACATATATATTCTTATTTTTAGAAAATGGATCCTGAAATGTCCAGGTGAAATGCCATGATGTTAGTAACTTGCTTTCAAAAGATTTTTTTTTAAAATTTTGTCAGAGGTCACAGGTATTCATCAGAGAGAGGGAAAGTGAGAAGCTACCTCCCATGGGGAGTGGTCACATGACTTTCCCTTCTCCCTTTCTCCCTCCTTTTCAGATTTTGAGCATGCACATGCACCAGGAGTATTTTTCAAACTCAGACTCAAATCACACAATTAGCCATGTGGGATCCAGTCACCTTAACCACCACACCACCAACTGGCCCACTTTCAAGACTTCTAAGGAGCCAGTTATTGTTGTGCATTTCACCAATCTGCAGTTCTAGAAACCACATGGGAGATCAGGGTTTTGTTCTGAGTGAATCTGTATACACCGAGTACACATGTGTCTATGATCCTTTCTGGCTAGGAAGGCTAGAGAGTGGGGGAAAAATAATGGCATGAGACCCTGTTGCGGGGTGCTAGTCTTTCTTTCTTGCTCTGTCTCTCATTAAAGAAATAAACTTAAGGGCCAACCGGTGGCATGGTGGTTAAGACAGCTGGATCTCACATGGTGGACTGTGCGGTCAGAGTCCCAGACCCAGTGACTTGAGAAGCACGCCAGGTATAAGTGTGTGCCCAAAGTCCCAAGAAAAAAGTGGAAGAGGAAGGATTGTGGCATGGCCATCCTTCCCATGGTGTGCTTTCTCACTTTCCCTCTCTATTTCTTTCTGGAGACTGCACACATTCTATAGCAAAGTTTTTAAAAAGAAAAAATAAACAAACTTTAAAAAAGGTGTCTAAAGGGAAGGAGGATGTAAAAAGAAGGATAGGGACAAGCAGATGGTGTAATGGTTACATCGTTGGACTCCCACGTAGTTGGCTGCAGTTCAAGTCCCAGACCTGGTAGCTTGAAACTCATGCCAGGTGAGTGTGCATGCATGCCCAAAATCCCAAGAGCAGAATGGAGAAAGGACTGTGGCATGGCCATCTCCCCTGGGGAGTGATTTCTCACTTTCGGTCTCTCCAGCAAGCATACATACTCTATAGCAAAAAATCTCTCTTACAAAATAAAAAAAAAGATAAAGCAAATGAAGCAGAATTTTAACAATTATTAAATGTAGGCTTGTCTGGATTACCAATAATATTGTATCATTCTTTGAACATCTTTAATGATTTCCAAGTAAAAAGCCCTCAGAGCTCACATGTATGGTCTTTCTTGTGCCCCATCTCCACCAGCAGAGGTCTTTATCCTATAAAGCATCTGCTTACCCACAATTCTTTCCCAGATTCTTCCACTACTATGTCTATGTCTCTCAGACTAAATTATGAGAAGGAAGGAAGGTATCGAGTTTTACTCATTATTTGGTTCTCCCACAAACCTAGAAATTTGACTAAAATCAATTCATCAACTGAAATTCAAACTTTGTTTCCTAATAGACTAATACGGTTTATGTTAAGCCAACATCCCAAATGCTACACACTCTGTTAGCTACATCACAATCACCTGGGGTACCCTTTTAAAAAAAATGTAGCTTTTCAAGTACCACCTCAGTATTACAGAATCTAAATCTCTTGGGTGGGGGGGGAGCCTTCAAGTCTATGCATGCTTTGTTCCATTTGTGGGGAGGGAAGAGAAGTAGATATTACTGAATATTTTTTGTACAAACAACAATAACAACAACAAAAATAACACCACTGGTGATATTGTCTACCGACACCTCATAAATTCTACTATCATTCTACCCATAATTGATATGGGAGAAAAGGTGAGAAAAACTATTTTGAGCCAATCATGTGATTACAAGCCCAAAGCTCCCAGTGGGGTTCCAGTTGATTAATCTTACAGCAGCTGAGTGACATAGTGAGAATATCATGGGGATGCAGAAAGGAGTTAACTCTCAGAGGGCCTACAAGTCTTGATCTGATGCTTTGAGTTGTCCATGTTTAATTCAAAAGTCTACTCAACTTGGCTTGAAAACTTTAGGGGCTTTCCTGTCCAAAGCTTAATTGGCTGAGACTTCTAGAAAATTGAACTATTCGTACCTGGCACAGTTCAGCAAGGTGTCTCTGTGTTAAGCTTCCCAGTGTAAAGCCTTACCACCAGGTTGGCAATAAAAGTATTTTATGTCAGTGAGCAATGAGAAATCATGATCCCCGAAAAATAGGGCTGGACGAGCTTGCATAACAATCCAGTACACAATAAACTGAAGAAAGTTGCATGAATTCTCATCCATAGCCTTAGCCATCTGCCTCCAGTTAGTCACTCCAAGATTATCCCCTAAGTCTTGGAGACCTGTACTAGCAGTTCACGTCCTCCAAGCTTCCAATTATTTTTATTTTTTTGGAGAGGTTTTTGCTATAGGGCGCATGCGCTCACCAGACAGAGAGAGAGAGAGACAGAGAGATAGAAAGCGAGAAATCACCCCCCAGGGGGGATTGTCATGGTGCAATCCCTTCTCCTCCATTCTCCTCTCAGGATCTTGGGCACACATGCACACGTGCCCGGTGTGAGTTTTAAGCCATTGGGTCCTAGGTTCCTCCTGATAAAGGACTTGAACAGGTCCACTAGTTCCTCAGGAATTACATACCTGCTGGGGTCACCAGGAGATTCAAAGTTCAGATCATACTTCCCAGAATTTAAAAGAATTCAAAGGAAACTACTCCCATGCTGGTTAGAATATTATCAGTGTAGCCCAGTGTTGCAATGATCAGTTTCCCAAATGCTTTCCATAGCAGTTCCAAGCATGTTTATTCTCTAAGACGTCAGGTGCAAACCTTCCCCAACCCCATATTAGCTTGCTATTACGGCCATAAGAAATGATCATGTATTTAGCAGCTCAGACAGCACACATGTGCTATCCTACAGTTCTCTGTGCCAAAAGTCTGACAGGGATATCAGTGGGTCCAAATCAAGGTGTCCACAGTGTTGCATTCCTTCCTGAAGGCTCTAGGGCTGTATTTTCCTTATTCATTTGGGAAGTTGGTATAATCCAGTTCCTAGCCGTCATGAGACTGAGTTCCATGACTTCTTTCCGGCTGTCAGTCAAGGGCCTTTCTCAAGTTCTAGAGGACAGTCACATTCTTCAGTCTGTGGTCTCCTCATCTTCAAAGCCAGCAATATTACACCTCTCTGACAGTTCTCTCTTGAAGCACAGGCATGAAAGGTTCTCTGATTTAAGGCCTTGCGAGATCACATTGGGTCTACTTTGATAATACAGGATGATCTCCCCATTTTAAGGTTCATGACCTTCATCACACCTGCAAAATCCCTTTTGCCATGTAAGGTAATAAACTCACAGATTCTAGGGACTAGGACATGGGCATCTTTGAGGGACAGTCTTCAGCCTACCACAATCTTCCACATGGGTAGCAGCTTTCTCATACTTCTCCTTGATGACATTTTTCATGCATGTTAACCTGGGCTTAATGAGTGTAGCTTCCTTGAAGTTTGCTGACAGGGAAGCACATGAAGTCCACCTGTTGTCAGCATGAGAACCACTGCCGATCATGGTAGAAGCTAGAACTGGAAGGATGACTTCAGAATTGCCAGCAGATCCACAATTCTGTGACAGCAGAGGGAACCCTTTTCAGCAACATCAGCTTTTATTTCTGGTATGGTGTTCACACCAAATTTAAAGACGTTCTCAGGGTCATTCACCTCTGTGATCAATGTCAATCCTCTTGTTCTGTAACATTCAGTTGCTTGCTCATAGGGCAGGCCCAGTTGTTTTATTGATGTGGTCAACAGACTCTGACACATTTCTCCCTGGCAAGTTTCATCATTTCTCTTGCTGTAAGTTCTCACAGATACCAGTTAAGGAACCACTGGATACAACTCTGAAAGAGACCTTTTCCAGTTCAGGACCCATCTCAAAAGTGGGATATCCTAGAGAACCAATGATCTCTCTGAGAAAAAGCTTGAGAATAGGGATGGTAAATGTTTACTCCTATTTCTTGTAGCTCAAAAAAAGACTAAGTATACTGTGGAGGTTCACTGGGAGGGGTAGCCCAACAATTTCACGGGCCTCTCCTTTATTCCTCTGAGCTCTTGGCCCACTTGGCTCTCTTTTGTTACAGGTGGTTTTTAAAGCTCCCTAAAATGATTCTGATGTGAACTAGATATGGGAACAACTGGTACAAAATTTAAAGGTAAATTAATGCTTCAGGTTATAAAACTTTTTTTTTTTTTTTTTGGAGAGATTTTTGCTATAGGGCGCGTGCGCTCGCCAGACACAGAGAGAGACAAAGAGACAGAAAGCGAGAAATCACCCCCCAGGTGGGATGGTCACGCCGCAATCCCTTCTCCTCCATTCTCCTCTTGGGATCTTGGGCACGCATGCACACGCGCCCAGCGTGAAGCGTGAGTTTTAAGCCACCGGGTCCGGGATGTAAACAGCGGTCGACTATGTGGGAGTCCAGCAACATAGCCATTACGCTAACTGCTGGTTCCCAGGTTATAAAACTTCTGAAACAAACAAAAAATATATTTCCTTTTATTAGCCATGAAATAAAACATCTTTAAAGCTAAATTACACTATATTTATTACATGATACACAAATTCTAAGCCAGTTTCAGAAAAGACAAAGTTCACGTTTCAGTGTGTTCAGTAAGGAAACATCAAAAATAAATAAGGTCTTTTTTTCCTTCTACTCTATTCCTTAATTTTATGTTTTAACCTGATATACATTTTATAATACTAAAGTTACAGCTTTTTCTGAATTAGTGCTTTTTAAGATAATGATTACAAATATAACTAATTTGAGAGAAAAGGAAATAAACACTTTCACCTTCTGGTTTCTAGCTTATTATTTCCTTTGTCATTAAGATGATAATGATATAGAAATTAATGTTTGGGGTATAAATAGATGATACCATTTTAAGTTTCCATAATCTTGAGAAATAATTCAGTATTATACAATCAAAAAATTAAATTTTACAATATTATTAATTCAATACAATATTATCAATATTACAAATACACATATACACATCTTATAAAAATACATTAAAAACAAAAAATGAGAAAAATACTGTATCATTATTCCCCTGAAGGTGAGCTGTATTATGCAGAGACTTTGACTCCTTTATCATTATCAGGATATTCTTCCACATCAGAGGAGAACATTAATTCTGGGGAAGAAAATGAACAGATCATACTTAAAACAGCTTTCCAATACCTCAAAAAGAGTTGTATAGCTTTATTACAAAGTTCCTTAAAACACTTGGAACCAGCAGATGGCGTGATGGTTACATAACTGGACTCCAACATGGCTGACTATGGTTTGAGTTCCAGCCCCAGTGGCTTGAGACTCATGTCAGGAGCATGTCTGTGCACACCCAAAATCCCAAGGGGAGAATGGAGAAGGGATAGTGGAATGGCCATACCTGCTGGGGAGTGATTTCTTACTTTCTCTCTCTCTTTCTCTGTGTCTGCAGCAAGTACATGTGCCCTACAGCAAAAATCTCTTTAAAAAAAAAAAAATTGACGTACTATACAATAATAAAGGGGCCAGCAGGTAGTGTGGTGGTTGAGGCACTGGACTCCCACATGGCAGACTGTGATTTGAGTCCTGGACCTAGCAGCTTACTTTCTCACTTTCCCTATCTCTCGTCTCTCTCTGGTAAGCCCATGTGTTCTATAGCAAAAATAAGAAAAAAAAATAATAATTACATACACACACACACAATAGAAAGCCCTCAAATATAATTAAGAATTATTGACAATGAAATGGCCAGCTACATAAACAAAGAATGATTTATTTCAAATTAAGGAATACTTTCAGGCTGGCTCCATAGCCTAGTGATTAAGGGAGCCAGATTCCCATATGGTGACTGCATGGTTTAAATTCTGGCCCTGATGGCTTAAAACGTGTTCCAGGAGTGTGTGCATGCATGCCCAAAATCTCAATAGGATGGACAAATGAAGAAGGGATTGCAGCATTACCACATCCTACTGGGGTGCTTTCTCCTTCTCCCTCTCTCTCGTTCTCTCTGGCGACCACATGCACAAGCCAGGAAATTAAAAAATATTAAGAGGTTCTTTCATCAGAAGAATATTAACAGAAGCAAAAAGTAAAGACTTTATATTATATAAATTATTTGAAGGGTTCCAAGAGAAGAAATACTGAATATGCACAAGGACCACAGAAATTTCCAGACTCTAGCTCTCCTAGGCAACCTCTCCCTTTTCTTCTTGGCATTCTGTTATATGCTTTATTTTCACTCTTCTTGTATCATTTTATTCTAAATATGTCTTTGTTACTGGAATTATATAAGCTATACCCATTAAAAGATTTGTAAAATCATTATATAATATTTGAGGATATTCTTATACTATGTTTAATACCTTCACTGAGATCCATGCCGGGCCTATAAGACAAAAATAGCCAAGATAATCCAACCAGAAGAGCCACCACCAGATTCACCACAATCCACGGCTGGAGAATCTGTTGCTCAATTCCTTCTGCCCTAAAGATATAGACATAATCATTAGAAATGTCTTCATCTTGGTTTATATATCTACTTTGTGAATTTTAAAAGAAAAACCAATCATCTCATAGAGAAATAACGAGCATGAAATAAAATATAATTTTCCTATAAGATGTATCATATATAACTGGACAAGGGTTCAATGGTTTTTATCATTATCATCATCATCATCATCATAATGACATGACAGACTGATGATGATGTCATGGTCAGCTGTTGACCTGCAGACATTGGCTCTCCCCATTCTGCTCACTTTCTAACATCGCTTGGTTTCCTGAATCTACCCCAGTTACCCACTCCCATCACTGCTCTGGGCTATTAGGCTCCCTGATTAGAAATGAGAATACAAAGTCATTGCGTGATAATTTATTTTAAAATCACAATGTGAAGATCTAAAAAAGATTTCTGAAAAGACATCTCATTAGAAATTTAGGTATATGTAATAATAGTTATCCATTAACAAAAAGAGTAAGTATTTTCTTGCCATGTATTTCGAAACAAAAACAGGGCCTTCACTATTATTTACAGACAAAACCATGAAAAAAAGTGAAAGGATACAAAAATAAGTACTATTATTCTCACTGATATTACCATTAACAACTGTTCAGGTTATTGTGAATACTTACCAGAGGCTGCCATTAACAGAAGAGGGCGTGTAAAGGTGGATTCTGTCACTTGTCATTTGCTGACTCAGAGACAGTGTAAGAGCAGTAAAGTACACTGAGAGAAAGACAAATAAAATTACTAATAATTTTTAACCACTGGGCTTCTTTTAAATTTACAAATCACTTTAAGGTAAAATATAATCTGCACACTGGTAAATGACGGTAAATGAAATTCATTTGATTAATTAAATTAAGGTAGCCTTAATTTATTTCTGATGACCATGAAATCCTGCAAGAAAACTTTCCAAACCTAGAGAGGCATTCAAAGATTCAGTCCCAAGAAATACAAAGGACCCCAAATAGAATCAACCCAAGAAGATCTTCTCCAAGACACATTATAGCCAGATTGACCAAAACTGCAGACAAAGACGAGATACTAAGACTGGCAAGAGAAAAACGGCAAGTTATCAGCAGACCTCTCATCAGAAACAATGCAAGGAAAGAATGAGAAAATATATTCAAAGTGTTAAGGGAAAAGCAATTTCAACCAAGAATACTGTACCAGGCAAGATTATCCTTCATATGGGAAGAAAAGACAAGAATATTCTCAGATAAACAAAACCTGGAAGAATTTACCAGCACCAGACCAGATCTCCAAGAAGTTCTCAAGGGAGTGCTATGTCAGGAAAATTAAATGTAGTCACCCAGAAATAAGAGTTCGAAAACTAAGAAAATGGCCAAATTAATCATAGGGATAAATATGGAGTTGAATATTATATACCAGAATTTAATTGGGAAGATTAAACCACAATAGAAAATAGATTAAGTACATGAGACTGAACTGGTGAAACAGTATTTTATGACTTTTGACTAAAACACTGCTGATTTTCTCCTAGGCTTTGTTTTCCAGTTTTAAGGATTTTTGTCCTGTCTTGAGCTGTCAATAGATTCATATACCTACTATTTAACCTGTTTCCTGGCTTTAAGGTCTAAGCAAAGTTCCTTAGCATTTCTTTGATTTATTAAAGTTAAAACTGTTTTTCTTGAAATTACCAGCAGAATTTGCTATTGAAAGTAGTTAGATTATTCAAGAAAATATGGGAGAAAAAGGAATTGAAAACAATTGTAGATGCCAGAGATAGTGTGGGAGGAGGGTGGGAAAAGGCAGAGGGTCAGAAATAGGGATAATATATATATACACATACACACACACACACACACACACACACACACACATATACACATATACATATAAACTAGAAATGGAAAATTATTGACAATAACGTGCATGATTAAGCCACTATGCATTATATTCTGGATGGGAAATCACATTTTCTATGCTGTGATGATGCTTAGGGAATGAATGATGAATGTAAATGAATTAATTTTAAAAGTTTCTGGAAAAAAAAAAAAAAAGGAATGACTTGCTCAAGATCCTAGTTAGTTTTTATCAATCCCCACACGTAAAATTTATTCCATATTATCAGAAAGATATAAAACAATGTTTGTTACTAAAAGGTTATACCAGCTGAATCTTTTCCATGTCAAGCACAAAATACAAAAGCTAAAACTGGGTACTACAGAACAAGAAATTAAGCTTTAAAAAGCAATTTAGATTAACTTCTATTGAAAAATAATTCCATTGAAATTATACCTATCATATTTTAATTATAAATTCACTGAACATCTATGGGTAATGTTTCTAGGGAACAATAATGCAATATTAAACTTTAAAAAATTAATATTATATGGTTGGTTCTGAAGCCTGATGGTTAAAGCAGCCGGAACCCCCACGGCTGACTGTGCAGTTTGAGTTCTGGATCTGATGGCTTGAGAACATCCTGGGCACATATGCCTGCAGGCCCCAAATCCCAAAAGGTGGGAGAAATAAAGGAGAAGGGATTAGGACATGACCATTTCCTATGGGGGGGTAGGTTTCTCTTTTCCATCTCTCTCCCTCTGGCAAATGTATGTTCCCTCTAGTACTAAAAAATACAAATAAAATTCTATTTTTCCAGGTTCAAAATTATGGTATAACACAAATGTTACATAGTTATCAAATGCAACCATTTACTCACAGAAAGATGCTAAAGCTGTTGGATCCAGAGCAAAAAAATTCCGGATGGCTACTGATGTTTTGGCAAAGTCAATCCTAGAAAATACAAAAGTCTCTTGTCATACTCCACTTGTATACAACTAAACAAAACTTTACTCTCCTTACTATTGGTTTTTCCTTCTCTATGCTACCACATAATCTTGTCTGGTACTAAATTTTAAGTAGCTTTACTTAACACAGCTAAAGAGTATCTTATTTATGAAGAACACATAAGACATGTAACTATTTTAGGCAATATTCCTTTAGAATTAAAACATCCTGAAGACATAAATTAAACTTGATCTGCAAATTTTCACTAGCATCTATCTTTTTTTTAATGTTCTGCTTTCCTTTTTTTAAAAAATTTAACTTTATTTATCCATTTAAATTTGACCAGAGAAGAGAGAGAGAGAAAGGGAAATTGAGAAAGTAAGCCACCAGGTCCAGGACTCCAACCGTGGTTGGCCATGTGGGAGTCCAGCGTCTATAACCACCATGCCATTTGCTGGCCCCAGCATCTATCTCCTTCTATTAACTATATCATTAAGCTATAATTTGTTGTTTTTGCTTTTTTTCTAGTGAATTGTAGTCTCAAAAGGATATGTTGAAGGGACCAGCAGTTAGCGTAATGGCTATGTCGCTGGACTCCCACGTAGTCGACCGTGGTTCACATCCCAGACCCGGTGGCTTAAAACTCACGCCAGGCGCGTGTGCGTGTGTGCCCAAGATCCCGAGAGGAGAAGGGACTGCGGCATGGCCATCCCGCCTGGGGGATGATTTCTTGCTTTCTGTCTCTCTGTCTCTCTGTCTGTCTGGTGAGTGCACGTGCACCTCTCAAAAAAAAGGATATGTTGAACACCTAACCCCTGGTACCAGTGAATGTGACCTTATTTGGAAATAGGGTTTTTGGGTTTTTGCAAGTCTAATATAGTTAGGGTAAGGCCATTGGGATGAATCATTAAGATCCAGTGTGACTTGGGTCTTTATGAAAAGAGAGATAGAGACACACAGGAAGAACACCATGTGGTGACAGATGCATCTAACAGACAAAAAGTTCCTAAAATGTCAACAGTCACTAATTGTGGGGAGAAACGTGGAAGAGAGTTGTTCTCAGAGTCTTCAAAAAGAAGTTGGCCTTGGTGACACCTTGATTTCAGGCTGCTAGCCCCCAGAAATATGAGAAAATACATTTTTGTTGTCCTAACCAGTCAGTGTGTAGTACTTTGTTATCGCAGTCCTGGGAAGTGAATCCAGTGTCCAGAGTTTCACTTATACCTGAATTAGATAATTCAGAATTAGAAACATTTTTGCTTTTAGAGAGTTTTGCTATAGGGCATATACAGTCACTAGAGAGACAATAGACAGACAGAAAGCACCCTTTGGGGGAAACAGCCATGCCATAATCCCTTCTCTTCCATTCTCCTCTTATGATTTAGGGCACACGTGCACATGCACCTGTGGTGAATTTCAAGCCACCACGTCCAAGACTTGAATTGCAGTCAACCATGTGAGAGTCCTGTGCCTTAACCACTATGCCACCTGCTGGCCACCAGAATTTGAAATCTGAGTAGACTGTATTTAGATGAAATTTAAAGGTAGGAGTTGATGCTGGAATGGGTTAAGACTTTGTTCACAGTAATCCCATCCCTTACAACAAAAGAAGTAGATTTGCTTAAAAAAAAGCCAAGTCATATTAATATCCTATAGTTCTATTTGAAAACTGTCATAGTCAGTTATACCTTTCATTCAACATTTCCTCTTGAAGAGAAATTAGAGGGATCTGCAGTCTTACAGTCTTACCTGTCAAAGGCTGAAACTGTACTTAAAGCCAAAAGCAAGTAAAGAAGACACTGGAATGGATATGCTAAGGTCTTATATTGTTGCAGAAGGTTTGAGAGGTTAGACAGCTGATCTCCTGCTAGAACATATATTACAACAATATTCCACACTGCACAGCCAGCCAAGAAGCCATGAGAAAAGAGACCAATCATCCTAAACAGAAAAGGGTTTGATTATTATACATGAATTACTAAAGTAAAAAGCTAAAATATTTTCATCTCTCCACATACAAGAATAAAATTCCACATTTCATAAAAAATAAAAACAACCTTTTTCTTTTTTCCTTAGTTTTGCTATAGAGCATGTGCACTTGCCAGAAAAAGACACAGAGACAAACGGGAAAGTGAGAAGGCACCCCAGGGGGATGACCACACCACAATCCCCTCTCCTCCACTCTCCTCTTGGAATTTTGGGCACATACACATGCACCTGGCAAGATTTTTCAAGTCAGCAGGTCTGGGACTTGAACAATGCAGTTAGCCAAGTGGGGTCTTAACCTCCACACCAACTGGTTGACCCACAAAGTTTTTCTTTTTACTTATACTGATAGGCAGATCATTTAACTCTGATGGAATATTTAAAAAAGATATACTTACCCACCACTATTAAGTTGTCAATTTTGTTTATAGCCAAGACTTTTTTCTTAATTACAGAACCCACTTAACACCTGTTTCAAGAAAAGTCCAACAAAAGTAGTCACCTGAAAGCCCGGTGCACTGAAAGTGCCACATCTCTGGTAGTCCAGAAAGGCTTTATGTCCACTGACACATCAATGTTCTCTGTGGTCTTTATTAACTCTGCACGATCCGTGGCCTGGAATCGCCCTAAGAACACATAGCAGGATTACTAACAACTTTTTTTTTTTTATGATTCCAAAATTTAGTATTGAGAAGCCTCAGACTAAGACTGCAATTCTATGTTTTTTTATCTAAGAATTCTCCTGATTTAGTACATTTCAGAAAGCTCTTTTCTTTTGGTTGCTTAAGCACACTATTTTTTCATATTTAGGAAATGTAAATAATGTCAATATATTTTTCCTCTCAATCAAAAATCAATGTTAAAGTAACAGCTTTAGATATCAATTATTTTTAATGAATACAGCAATGAACTTTCAACTCAGAATAAAGCCTAGAAACCTTTAACATGACATGATCTCCAAAATTCCAATTTAAAGAATTTAGAAGTATTAAAATTTAAATGCTGGGGCTGACAGGTGGCATAGTGGTTAAGGGGTTGGACTCCCACATGGCAGGCCACAGTTTGAATCCCAGACCTGGTGGCTTGCTTTCTCTTTCTCTCTTTGTCTCTCTCTGGTGAGTGCACATGGCCTACAGTGAATATAAAAGTAATAAGTAATATTAAATAAATATTTCTTTAAAAAAAAGAATTTAAATACCTACACCATCCAGGTAAGTCAATATGTGAAAACTACCTTAAAGACTCCAGGATGAACAGTACGGCTTTCTGTGATGACAGAAAAGAAATGGGTTGTTCATAAACTTTAAAAATATTCCCATAAAATGTTATCGTTTCAAATGTCAGCTCTGCAACACTGTGTGATCGGGGTCTTGTACTATAACTAGGAGGCTCCTTTTCCTATATCTAGCAATCTACAAATGGACCCCAGCAAGCAGGAAAAGTCCCATTTCAATGACTCTCACCAAACTGGACTCTCGTGTATTTTGGAGGATGAAAGACAGAGATGCAACCTAACTTCCTCTAAGAAAGGACAACTCCTAGGCAGACAACAAAACCAGTTACTGTAGCAGGGAAATATCTGTGCTAAGGGGAGCAAAAATAAAAATGAAAATTGAGTGATATTGCTTGAAAATAGAATAAATGAAAAGGCCACATGGTAAAGATTCTTGACTAGAAACCAAGAAATCCTGCTTCAAGTCTCAGTTCTACAGTAACCAACTGTGCTGCTGAATAAGTCAGTAAGCCTCTCTGACTTTCTCTTTGGTTAAGAACTTCAAGATCTCTTAAATGGGATCTTACAGAATCAGAATTATAAAACAATTAATACAGAACTTAAATTGCAAATTTGGTATTTTAGATGAGGTTCTTTAGATAGCATATCCATGGAAAGACTACCTGGTGATGGTCTTTGGGTAGGTTTGTCTCAAATAATGTAAGGATCCCCCCTAAACTCATATGTTAAAACCTTAATCTTCAGTGACACTCGATGTGAAGATATCTGGAATATGGGGCCATTGGGAGGTAATTAGATTTAGACAAGGTCAGAAGGGTAGTATTCTCACAATGAGATTAGTGTCCTTTCTAGATGAGGAAGAGAAAACCAGCTCTCACTTTGCCAAGTGAGGACACAGTGAAAAGGTGGCATCTGCAAATTCCAGGAAGAGGCCCTTGCAAAAAATACTGAACTGGCCTGCTCCTTGTCTTGGACTTCCCAGCTTCTAGAACAGTTAGAAATAAATGTCTATTGATTAAGCCACTAGTATGATATTTCCTTATGGCATCCCAAGCAAAGATACACCGCAAACCCAGACTTACAAATAGTACGTGCTATAAAATGTTGGAATTATTTTAAAAAGAATATATAGTTATAATGTTATATTTCTTATTTAATAGGGTTATGTATTTTCTTTTATTTTTTTTTGGAGAGGTTTTTTTTGCTATAGGGCACGTGCGCTCGCCAGACAGAGACAGAGAGAGACAGAAAGTGAGAAATCACCCCCCATGGGGGATGGCCACACCACAATCCCTTTTCCTCCATTCTCTTCTCGGGATCTTGGGCACACATGCACACGCACCCAGTGTGAGTTTTAAGCCACTGGGTCCGGGACGCGAACCACGGTCGACTTCGTGGGAGTCCAGCGACATAGCCATTATGCTAACTGCTGGTCCCTGGGTCATGTATTTTCTCTCTATTTTTTAAAAGTTTTTGCTATAGGGTAGTGAGTACTCACAGAGAGGGATAAAGAGAGAAAAAAAAATGAGAAATCACTCCCAAGGGGGAATGGCTACGCTTCAATCCCTTGTGTTCTAGTCTCCTCTTGGGATTTTTGGGCACGCATGCACACATGCCCTGCATGATTTTCCAGCAATGGATCCAGGACCAGAATTGTGCAGTCGGCCATTTCGGTACCAGCGCTTTTAATCTTCATGCCAATGGCTGGCCCCTTCTCTCATTTATTTGTAGAATGTGTAACATTACTTGCCCTACCACCAATTACAGAAAACTGGTAAAGTACGACGAAATATTAAAAAAGTAGAGATGGGATGAGATTTTTTAAAATTTCTCATAAGCTCAGAAATAACTAGCATAAATACTTTGGCGTATTTCCTTCTAATCTTTTGTCCTATGCATTTTTTTTGAGTTGAGATCGAATTGCACATATGTATATATGTTCATTTTTCATTAGAATCCTTTCATGAAATTAAAAATTCTCCCTAAATATACATTATTTAATGGTGCAGAATTATTGTATTATGTAGATAACCATACTTACTGAAATCATTTCTTTCTATTTTACATTTAGGCTATTTTCAGTGTTCATCCTCTTGAATAAAAATGTAATAAGTTTTATGTGCAACTTGTTTTTTCTTTTCCCAGTGTCTGAGGTAGGAAAACAAGGCTGCCCAGCTCCTGGCAGTCCCCACGATGACCCTCAAGGGCTGATCTTGGCCTCCAGTCTTGGCTGAGGAGAAAACGGAGCCCACACAGCCCATGGGGAAGAGGCCTTACATTTTTGTCTATGTTTTGGCTTATTTCCTTAATTCAGATTTCCAGGAGTGTAATTACCAGATCAAAGGATACCCCTGTGTAATTTCTAAAGCACTCATGTTCCAAAACAAAGAACTACTTACGGTTTTTTTCCACAAATACTTTCCCCACAGGCTGGCTGACGCCAGTGGGTGCCGTGAACACAGACTGCTGTTCTGGGCTACCTTGCTCATCAGTGAGTATGTCTTCATCTTCCACGCCTAGCTCGTTGGCATACTGTAACTCTGTTGGCTGGGTTTTCCTATAATCAGGGAGATGTAAGAAAAATGGGCAGTAATTGAATTTTTATAGACACACATAGGAACCACTTATGGACATAATAAGAGCCCCGAACTTGGAGTCAAGAAATCTGGTTTTTACTAAAATAGATTGTTATCAGCTACTATATGCAGCAAACTGTCTATGTCTGTGAGCCTCAGTTTTCTCATATGGAAAAGGAAGTAACTGAACTATTGATAGATCTGCGAAGTTCTTTCCAGACTCAAATCATCAGTGAGTATGTCTTCATCTTCCACGCCTAGCTCGTTGGCATACTGTAACTCTGTTGGCTGGGTTTTCCTATAATCAGGGAGATGTAAGAAAAATGGGCAGTAATTGAATTTTTATAGACACACATAAGGAACCACTTATGGACATAATAAGAGCCCCGAACTTGGAGTCAAGAAATCTGGTTTTTACTAAAATAGATTGTTATCAGCTACTATATGCAGCAAACTGTCTATTTCTGTGAGCCTCAGTTTTCTCATATGGAAAAGGAAGTAACTGAACTATTGATAGATCTGCGAAGTTCTTTCCAGACTCAAAATTACATGATTCTATATACACAGTAACCACTATTTGTAGTTCACTTTCAAATACAAAAAAACAGTATTATATTCCTTCCAGTATATTTTTTTAAGTATGTCATTCCATTTTATCAAGACTGAATTTTTAATACTGTTTTTTTTACTCATTGCTGAAATAATCATAATTTGAATTCTGTTAACATGAAAGAATAAATTACGATAAACTATTTTATTATCTTCAATTATTTAAAAAATGTTTTCATAGGGTGCATGTACTTGCTGGAGACAAAAGTGAGGAAGCATCCCCGAGGAGAGATGGCCACACCACAATTCCTTCTCCACTCTCCCCTCAGGGTTTTGGGCACACATGCCCAATGTGTTTTTCAAGCCACTGAGTCTGGGACTCAAACTGTGCAGCTGGCTGGGATACAGCCACCTAACCACCATGCCGCTAGCTAGCCCACCTTTAAATTTTAATATTTAATATCTAAATTTATTATCTAATATTTTTGGCTCTGTATAAAATTTTAATTTATGTTCATCTTTTTAAAAGATGGCTCCTTAGATTTTTTTTAGTGTACTATTTAAAATATTAAGTGTTTTTTTTTTGTTGTCTTTTTTTTTCTTTTGAGAGGTTTTTGCTATAGGGCATGTGCATGCGCCAGAAAGACAGAGACAGACACAGAAAGCGAGAAATCACTCCCCAGGGTGAATGGCCATGCCGCAATCCCTAGTCTTCCATTTTCCTCTCAGGATCTTGGGCACACATGAGCATGCGTCCAGGATGAGTTTAAGTCACTGGGTCCAGGACTCGAACCACAGTTGACTACATGGAAGTACAGCGACATAGCAATTAAGCCAACTGCTGGTCCCTTAAGTTTTTCTTTCTTCAGTGGTGCAGTCTTTCAAATTTATCATTTGATTGGTTTAACTTATGTTTTATAATATTGCCTATGCTAGAGATATGCAGATGTGTGTATTTAATAGTATTTATTTTTAAATAAATATTTAATTTTATTTATTCATTCATTTATTTGACCAGAGAGAAACACGCACAAAGAGAAAAAGTGAGGAAGCAAGCCACCAGGTCTGGGACTCAAACTGTGGTTGACCATGTGGGAATGTCCAGTGCCTCAACCACCATGCCACATGCTGGCACCAATAGGAAGTATTTAGTCAGAAGCTGTTTGGGCACTCCAAATGAAGCATCGGAATAACCCCGAATAACACGTAGAAGGCTGGATGATGGCACGGGAATGAAACATAAGGCTCTATGTGGCTGACCCATGTGGGAAGGTTCAGGTTCATGTCTGGAGACCTCTCTGAGCACAACAGGCACATGTATGGCCTACAATCTGGGAACTGGTTGAGGATGGAAGTGGATTGTGACATCAAGACCCTGTCAGGGGTGCTAGCTTTCTGTCTTGCTTTTTCTCAAGATCGTAGAATACATAAACTTTTTAAATCTATATGAATATTTCGAAGAAGAAATAAATTCTTACTTTTTCTTCCTTCGAGGTTTTAGAACAACTGCCTCCTCAGTTGGTCCCCCATCAATACCATTTTCATTTCGTAATATGGAAGAGCTAGACGTCTTCTTTTGGGTGAAAGAAGTCTCCAATTCTGAAAACAAAGTAAGCTTTCAAATGACTATAAGATAAGAAGTAATGTATAAGACTTTTTAAGACAAGAAAATTTCAGTGGTCAGCAGGTAGCGTGGTAGCTAAGGTGCTAGATCTCACATGGCCAACTGTGCGACCCTGTGACTTGAAAAATATGCTGGACACATGTTTGCATTGGTCCAAAATCCTAAGAGGAGAACAAAGGAGAAGGGACTGTGGTATGGCCATTCCCTCTGGAGGATGGTGCTTTCCCACTTTCCCTCCTTCCCTCTTTCCAGTGAGTGAACGCTCTCTATGACGTAAATACATACGCTACTTTAAAAAGACGAGAAAACTTCTAGAATTTTAAATGGGTCAAAATATTTTTTATCATCTTAAGAATTTTTACTTTTAAAGATTTTATAATTCTAGTGTCTCTACATAAAATTTGAAATTACAATGCCAAACAATATAGAAAAAGGTTAAATAATCCAAAATGCAGGGTGTGTTGGAAATTCCAAAGATGACTTCCAGGTTCAGTGATTCACTTGGAGTCACAGAACTCAGAAGTCATTATACTCACAGTTGTCGTTTATTCTAGCAAAAGGACAGAAAGTAAAACCAGCAAAAGAAAAAGTGCATGGAACAAAGTGCAGAACAAACCAGGTACAGGCTTCATAGTCCTTTATCAGTGGAGTTGAAAAGGATGCACAATGTCTCTAGTAATGAGTTGTGACGATACATGTGAACATTGTCTACTAAAACTCATTAGACTCAGCTCCCAAAGTTTTTGTTTTTGTTTAATTTCCAGAGGGCATATACATGCACCAAAAAGACAGAGGAAAAAAAATAAAGAGAAGCACTCCCCAATGGCTCCTAAGTAGTTGTGCCACAATCCCATTCCCTTCATTTCTACAACTCCTCAATATTTTGAGTATACACACACACACACACACACACACACACACGTCCAGCAAGTTTCTCAAGGTGCCAGGGTCAGGATTCAAATTATGCAGTTGGTCATTTGGGATCTGGCTCTCTAACTATTAGGTCATCAGGAAAGTTATGACATATTTCTGTTTTTCTATTTAAAAATGAGTTATGACTTTCCTGACAACCCAATACTCGGGCTAACCCAGTGATGTCTAGTCTTATAAATAATGTTGCAGTTAACATCTTTTAATTACTGTAGGTACTGTACTTACTTCAATTCCTAGAAATCTAGACAGGCTCTATCAATTTATCTTCTTTCCAGCAGAAAGTACCCACTTCCCATCAACACTGGATTTTGTAATTTGAATAAAGTATTGACAATTTGATAGGCCAAAAAAATGGGTATAGTATTTTGTTTACCTTGTGACTAGGGCCTGACACACAGACAGACTCAATAAATATTGGCTGTTGTTTCCTAATGTTATTATTAATACAGATCTACCATTTCCCCATAACCCAAAATATCCATTTCATCATTATTAAATTCTTCTATGCACTGAGATCAGAACTTTGTTTCAGTCCCAAATTTGTACCTCTGCTCTCATAGTCAAAAATGGTCAAAAGAGGTACATAAAATGTTCTCTTTTTTTTGGAGAGGTTTTTGCTATAGGGTGCGTGCACTCGCCAGAAAGACAGAGACAGACAGAGAGACAAAAGGCGAAAAATCCCCCCCCCAGGGGGCATGGCCACACCACAATCCCTTCTCCTCCATTCTCCTCTCGGGATCTTGGGCACGCACGCACACGCGCCCGGCATGAGTTTAAGCCACCAGGTCCAGGACTCGAATCATGGTCGGCTACATGGAAGTTCAGCGACAGCCATTACACTAACTGCTGGTCCCTAAAACGTTCTTGACTTAAGCCATTTGAGTTACTCTAGTGGTAAACACTTTAAGCAAGAAAGGAAGAACCAACTATAGGAAATGAATAGGGGGAGAATGGGAGCAGACAGGTTTTAATCACAGCCCCCTAATCACAATCGCTATCACACCCTAACCTCGATTTCCTCACATACCAAGAGATGGCCTCTTCTTCTTCTGTCTCCTTTGAACAGGTGCCTCCTTAAGTTCCTCAGTGAGTGGCTCACTGCCCTCAGATGGCCTATCAACAGCAGGCTCTGCAAGGTCTTCTGAAGGGCTAGCTACAGAAAAGCAGAAAAACATGGGAAAACTTGAGCAGAGATCACAGATATATGAAACAATGGGAAAAAAGATAACTAAATGTTCCCCTTCTCTTTCAGAACTAATTGTGCCCTAAATCTTTATTTTCTTCCTTCTCTCTTGTAGCTTTAGGCTGAGAAAATAAATGAACTAGGAAGGCTGAGAAAGGAAAAAAGGGAAGGGACCAGAAAGAAGAGCACAAGAGGAAGAGTTTGAGAACTGCTTCAGAACATTTACCACTTTCTAGAAGGTAAAAAAACAAACAAAACAAAACAAAAAAAACAGGAAAAATCAACACAATAGAGAACTCTTGTCTCTTGCCTTAAGAATTTATTTGCCTCTATGAAGTTTAGTCCTTCATTAATACATTAACACATTTATTTATTATAGAAAACTGAAGTTAATCCATAATTTATAAATCTCTTCATTTGATCATTCATTTCAACTTCTTCTCTCATTGTATCTTCCAATAAATTTTGGCAGATTTGAAATTTGACTGCATTCCTTTACCTGTCTTCTTCACAAAAGAAGAAATAAAAGTATATTCATAAACAAAAAGATGCTTAACCTCACTAGTACTTACAGAAAACTAAAACAAGCTACTTTTCATCTGTTAAGCTAACAAAACATTTTAAAAATCGATACTGTCCAATATCGTGAAGGATTTAGAGAGGACAACACTATCAAACTGTATTAGAGGGAAGAAAATAACCAAGCTTCCTCAAAGGCAACTGCTCAGTCACAGAAACTGTTTAGGTTTATGAGAGGCTATTAGAGTGAAGTTAAAAGCTGGAGACCAGTAGGTGGCGTGGTGGTTAAGGTACTAGACTCCCACATGGCTGACCATGGTTTGAGTCCCAGACCCAATGGCTTGCTTTCTGTCTCTCTCCATCCCTCTGGTGAGTGTATGTGCCCTGTAGCAAATTTAAAAAAATAACAATGATAAATAAAATTAAATAAATATATTATTTTTTAAAACAAGAGTGAAGTTAAAGGAAAATTAAAGACGGCTTTGGGAAAAAAAAGAAAAGATGGCTTTGAGTTTTTCAAACCTGAGTGCTGGGAAAATGGTGAATTTCACTAATAAAAATTATAGGTGAGAAGTAAAAATTGATTTATTGTTGAAGGTGATGATGGATTCTGGATGTGCTAAGTTTGAGTCACTGACACAACATCCAGGATTACTAGTAGGTAAACAGAACAAAAAGGAGTTAACAGAATCTGCTTATTATTGGAGCTTTCATACAGGATAATGTGGCCCTGCCTTCAGACTAACGCTCTAGTGTGGAGGTTCTCTGACAGAAATGATGCATCTCTAAGCCCAGTAATCTGTTGAAGGGTCTGGGACCAATCACATCTTAAAACAATGTATGTTGTCTAGGGATAAAAGATGTCACAGAGCCCAAGGACATTATAAATTAAGAGCTCAAGTGGCACAACCCTTTATTCCATGTATGCTTCCAGATATTCCTCAAACCACCTACAATCTTCTCTCTCTCTACCATTGGAAATTCCACTTTAAAAAAATTTGTTTTCATATTGAAAATTTATTTATTTACATTCATTCACTGTACATCATTATAGCATACAAAGTGAGATTTTCCATCCAGAGTACACTGTATACTGGCTCACTAGTCTTAATTCTGTCCTTACCAGAACAGTAACTTGGGGTTGCTGGGGTCTTACCTCTCCCTGATCTATGATGTTTGTTATGAGTCAGGTCCTGGGAAAATATAATCCCACACAACAAAGAACAACTTCTTACCTAGTGTGTTTTTTCCTTTGAGTTTCTTTTTCTTAGGACGACTAAGTGGAATATCATCTACAAAACATACAAAACAAAAAGACCATCAACAGAAAAGTTTGAAGTTCAATGCAGAGAATGATCAGAACAAAGCTATTACTAGGGAAGACTATTTCCACCCTTGCCTGGCTGTAGCCAACTTCTACGCTTTAGAAAAAGGTGGCCAAGAGCTGATGACGTCAGAGAGCCCAGAGTAGTACCCGTAGTGCACTGCTGGTCAGCAATGAGACTGTGATACAGAAAGTGAGCTCAGTAAATATTCATCTGATCCCCTATATTTCCCACTTTCTGTGATAGGTTCTGAGCATCAAGCTGTGTGATCCATGTCATGTGGGGGCCTAAACATCCAAAAGAGCTAATAAGTAACCCTCCAGTCTTCTCTCTTGCTGTGGCAATTGAGGAGGTTTTATGTTAAGATGACCGAACAACAGACTAAAAGCAGCCTGGAGGGAGCACTCCATCCTTAGTGAAGAAGTAGTGAAAAGCAACTGCCTTAAATTATTGACACACTGGATTTTGCATTAATTAGAAATAATCTTGTGGGGCCAGCAGGTGCCAAAGTGGTTAAAGTCCTGGATCCAACATGGCTAACAGTACAGTTCGAGTCCTGGACGTGCCAGGCACATGTGCGTGCGTGCCCAGAATGCCAAGGAGAATAGAGGAAAAGGGACTGCAGCATTGCCATCTTCCTTGGTGGGTGATTTCTCACTTTCTCTCTCTGGTTAATGCACACACCATATAGTGAAAAAAAAAAAAAAAGAACCTTGTATGATATTGTGAAATACAAACACTATGTGAGATTTTGGGGTTGTGAGCACAGCATTACTTTGCCTATGCTGACTAAACAACAAAAGGGAAGGTGCAATCCAACAGTTATGTTCTGGGTGACTCCATTCTGGGATGAAGTGTACTTACAAAGGATTTTATAGCGGGAAAGTCATAATTATTAGCAATCAAGGGAGATTACTATGACAAGACAATTACATTGGGTCATCAGAAAAGTCATGATGCATTTTTGCACAGAAAAACGTCATGGGATCAACAGAATGGTTACACGCTAGACTCCCACATGGTCAACCGTGGTGTGAGTCCCAGATCCAGCAGCTTGAAACTCATGCCAGGTATGTATGCATGCATGCCCAGAATCCCAAGAGATTAGAGCAGAAGGGACTGCAGTATGGCCATCTCCTATTGGGGGTGATTTCTTGCTTTTTGTCTATCTGTCTCTCTCATCTCTCCAGCAAGCACATACTCCTTAAAGCAAAAATCTCTCTTAAAAAAGAAAAACCTGTCATGACTTTTCTAACAGCTCAATAGTATATAAATTATACCATTCAGATTCAATTTTAAGAAAAATAAACAAAGGAATCAAATTAACTTTCGAACACCAAATACTAGAAATTTTTTACTTTAGGGGCCAACAGATGATGTGGAGGTTAAGGTGGCTAGATCTCACATGGCTAACTTTTTGAGTCAAGTCCTGGAAGCAGCTCAAAAATTACACCAGGTGGATATGCGTGCATGCCCAGAATACCAGAGGAGAAGGGACTGTAACAAGGCCATTTTCCCTGAGGGATGACTTCTCATCCTCACCTCCCATAATCTCTCTCTAGCAAGTGAATGCAGCCTTTAGGAAAAATTAATACACACACACACACACACACACATACAGAGTAAGCTAACTTACCTTGAATGTCACTTCACATGATACCAATCAAATTTAGTGAATAGGACAAAGACAAAAAAAGAAACTATTAATTAGAAATATGTTATATTGTCAGACTGAAAACTGACATAAATCATTACAAATTTTAAAATAAAATTAGCTTCCATACAATGTCAGTTAGTTTCAAAAATAGCTACTAAGTTTAAAAACTAGCTTATTATTTGTAGGTAATAAGCTGTTTAACAATACTGCTAATAAAATAACCCCAATATTTTCTGAACCTAGGTTTATATATCCCCTACTGTCTATTAATAAAGTAGATTAAGCAGGTTAAGAACTCTTTTGTCACAGATTAAAATCAGCTTAAACTCTAAAGAAACTATTCTAGCAAACAAAAGAGGATCAGAATTCTGATAAACAAGACACTAAAATATTCAGATAGATCTATTATCTCACCATGTTGACATTCACCCCTTTTAAATAAAACATTTAATTATGTAACTGTTGTCCTCAAGATTCCAAGATTTTTCACATTTCTAATTTTAGAAAGCCTTTTCCTAAAATTATTAGAAAGTCTTTTCTAAATCATTACAATTTTGTAATGGTACTATCAATTTTATACTCCATTCATTTTCACTTTTAAACTTAATAATGAAATTGCTGTTCATTATTTTTTACCTTGGCACAGGTGGAAGGGCACGTGGAGGACGCTGAAGGGAGAGAAAAGAGAAGAAAACTTCTTGTAAATAAAAGAGTATCTTTGAGGTAGGTGAGAGGGTCTCAGGAAAAAAAGCATTTAACAGACACAGGAATACATGTAGACAGGGCAAATTAGTTGTGGAACAGCATACTACAATAAAGTGAAAAAAGAGATGTTGTGAGTCCTATATATCTGTATGTGCAAAACATATATCTAAAAAAAAAAAAGAAAAACAAGTATAACAAAGATGGAAGGTAATCATTATAATGTGGTGGCCTTGGTTGAAAACAATGAATTTGATTATTGCACACTGCATATGTGCTTTGAAAAATCCATATTGTATCCCATAAAGATGCATAACAGTTAAATGTAAATAAGAAATTTTTTTAAAAATTAAAAATAAAATAAATAATAAAGGAGCATCTTTACCAGAGCATCTTTACTTTAAGTATCTCAAATACCACAAAGTTATCTAGTCTCTTAAAAGCCTGTTGTTCAAACATGACAGGAAAATATAATTTGAAGACTACTCTCTTCAAATCTTTTTATAACCTGTTCACCAGTGAAACTTGAGAGATTCTGACAGGAATCAGATGGATGATTTTAAATGTGTTCCACCATTTCCAATTTTCATGGAATTCCTTCCTTCTTACATTCCCTACTATGTTCAGGATAAGCCCTGTTCTGAGCGTAAGAGATATACTAACAAAATAGAGAAATCCAAGCTTTGATGAACTAAGTTCATTCCAAGTATTAGGAGATGTGAAAAGTACATATAATATGTATTATATATAAAATATATCTATGTATACATAAAAATAAGTGTATACATATTTATATACAGTATATGAGAGGAGTTCAAAAAGTTCATGGGAAATATAAAGTACAAGTTTATTTTGGAGCAAAAAAATCTTGAAATCCATGCAGTTTTTTTGTGAAATGCATTTTCTATGAACTTTTTGGAGACCCCTTCCGATATGACAACAAATGGGAAAGGATGAGAAGTGCTATTTTGTTAAAGAAACTGAGAATTTTGAGCTGAGTCCTGAGTGAAAAGGAGACAAAATTTCAGGCAGTGGGGAGTAAAGGCCCATGCTTTCAGGGGAGACTGTGAAGGACAGCAAAGCTGCAGCACAGATAACCAAAGTAAGACTGCAGGAGCCAGGTTAACTAGCACCTTGCAGACAAGGGATGGAGTATGGATTTTTCTCTTAATTCAATGGAAGCCAATGGACGTTTTACCCCACATAGTAACATTCTTGTTTAAAAAAAAAAAAAAATCACTCTGGGGCCAAGCAGTTAGCGTAATGGCTATGTCGCTGGACTCCCACCTAGTCGACCACGGTTCGGGTCCCAGACCTGGTGGCTTAAACTCACGCCAGGAGCCTGTGCGTGCATGCCCAAGATCCCAAGAAGAGAATGGAGAAGGGATTGTGGTGTGGCCATCCCCCCCTGGGGGGTGATTTCTCGCTTTCTGTCTCTCTGTCTCTCTCTGGCGAGTGCACGCGCCCTATAGCAAAAACCTCTCCAAAAAAAAAAAAATCACTCTGAATATGACATAAAGAATGGATTTGGGAGCAGAAAAAGTGTGTGCGTGGGGTCTTACAAATGCTGCTTCACATTAATAAAAGAAAAGTCGTGCTTGTAGTTCAGAGAACATTAGTTAGGAAACAGTATGGAATCTTTCAAAATAAAACACTAAACAGAAATGCCTAGAAGTCAATTTAAGGTTCCAACTTTTGCTGCTTGCACAGGACACTAAGTCCAAAAGGCTATATTTTAGACACTCTTGAAGTCTGTTCCACTTAGCCATCCATTCGTTCAAACTGTGGATTAATACAGACGCTACGAGATTAAGACAAGGCAGATGGTCTTAATCCTACCCCGTGGTCAAATTGAAACAGAAAAGGAACGGTGTTCACGTGAAATCACTATTGTTCTAAAGATGCTATTGTACAAAGCTTGTTCTATTCAAGCACCCAGCTCGACTAACTCCCAAATTCAAAAGTCCCGCAAATATGACGTTTCACCCATTCCGAAATCCAACGTCTAAATCCTCCGAGAGCAAGACGGCTCAACTAAAAACAAAAGTCCGAGTAGTTCAAAGGTGGCTCAGGCTCGCTTACCATCTGCTTCTTCCCCATGCTGTCTACAGTCGCCCAGCAGCCGCCAGGCCCTAGGCGCTGGGCGCCCCGCCCCGGCCGGCCAGTCGGCCGCGCGCGCAGGCGCAGGCGCATTGCGTCATCGGGCGGCGCCGCGCGCTGCAGGGCGCTCCAACCCGCAGGACCCAGGGCACCGGCCGAATTCAGGGGATGTGACTGTGGCGCGTTGGGACCTGACCTGACCTCTACAGGGTAGCGAATTTCGGAGTCAGGGCTGCAGTGCCCGGAAGCAGAGATCGTAGCGGGCGAGGGACTGCAATCTCGGTTTTCTCCCTGGCTTCGAAAGAGGCTGCGCTGATTTGTGTCAGGGGCGTGAAAGAAGCCCTAATTAAAAGTCTCCTCGGGAAAACCTGGTTTCCGGGCGGCTAAAAGCTCAAGGCTGTCTCCTCCCAGAGGAGTAGGTAGAGGGGGCCTGGCTGACTGCGCTGGAACCCGCCGGCCAGGGCGACGAAGTGAGGCGTCGTCGCGGGAACGCAGGCCCAGGCCGGGGAAACTTCTTGTCTTGCTCCTTGCAGGCTCCGGAATTCGGGTTCCGACCTCGCCTCCGCCCGATCCAGTCCTGTGAACGCCCTTGGGACGGGTGCGTGCCCCCTACGAGCAAGCTTCTCGTCCGGTCCCCAGCTCGTGGGTGCTGATCCGGTTGCAGGAGGAGCCGCTGCTTTGGGGCACCCCCACCCCTCTTGTGGGCGACGCGCCCTCCTGGCTCACCCGGTAGCCCTCTTGCTGAAGCCGGGAGTCGGCCCTCATAGTGTTCTCCCCATGGGTTCTCACGGTGCAACCGCCGCGGGCCCGAGCCCAAGCTTAAGCTTCCCGCGACAACACCGCCTCTGGAAACTGCGAGAGGCTGGGGCTCCGTGGCGCCTGGCGAGGACACCGCCCCCGGGCCAAGTGCCCGCCCGCCCCTGCTCCGCGGAGACCGGAGTTCCAAGGTGGCTGGGTTAGGGACGGACGCATTTACTCCTCATAGCCTGCGCGCGTTGGTTGAAATGGGCATTTTTGTCAAGCTCCTCATCCTCCGTTCTACAACTGTGTCTACAACTGTGTAAATCACTGTTGTAGAAAATTTTCCTCAAAGAGCTACAACATAAAATCTGAACTCACTTAAGTATTAAAAGCAATCTGATTTTTTTGTTTTTTTGGTTTGGGTTTGGTTTGGTTTGATTTGAAAATAAGCTATGTAAATTACAAATATTTTGAATCGTATACTCTTTCAGTTAAGAAAGTCTGTGCGTTTGGAGAAACAGAATGATGCCGAAGATGAACAGATACCAGGGCAGGGAAAGCAGCTGAAGTCTCAGATTTAGGGGAAGAAAGGACAACTCTCTGGAAAAACATTCCCATTTGTGGTTTCCTTACATAGAGGTCTCAAGGACTGATCCATTCCCCTATCCAAGATTGGGTACACACAAGTCAATACGGCTTTTAAGGAAGTTACTGAATGTTACAGCTCTGAGCAGAAAAACAATTACTTTCCTTGCAGCCTGATTTGTAAATGATAGAGCAGTGCAGTTTCTCTATTATTTGATGTTAGATACAAAATGTGTAGAGTATTAATCTTGCCATGTTAGCGAAATATGCACTTTTGTAAAAGACATCTTCATAACATGGACATTTCCTAAAGTTAATAGCTTCTGGAATTAATGCTGCTAATTTTACTTAGAAAAGCTCTTTTAATCTAAATCTTACAAAGACCACCTGACGTCTATGAAAGTTTCTAATATTCAGTGGCTTATTCAAATTCCTACCACTGCTTCATATGATGTAAAGGAAAACAATTTTTTTCCAAAGAGACAAATAGGTAACAACATAACCATACAGTGCATCTATTTTCAAATAAGATCAATTAATAAGCTCCAGCACTTTTTAAATTGCACACATTACAAGCACTCCTCATGGTAAAGTGAACTGGTAGGTCAGGGAGGAGCTTAAAGGCAGATGTCTTGTGGTATGTTGTGGCAGCATAGGGTATATATAGTTCAATAGATATCACATGACATCATATTAGAGTAATGTAATTCTATCTATAAAAAGCATACATTAGCTAAGTGCAAGAAAACAAGAAACAGCACAATAATACAAATCCAGCATAATTGTTTTTATTTATTCTGAATACTGCTATGGGTACACAATAAAGTACAAATTTATAAACAAAATATATAGTCTTGTGGTTGAATGCTTCATATAGTGAATATTAACAGACTGCAGGAAGGAGACAAAGACTGAGAAAGTGGATTTTAGAGATTCACACAGACTGAGAAAGGGAATTGCTGGTGCTAGAGAACTGGTCGTAAATCCAAGAGGTTGTTAAACAGGTAGGTCTTAAAAAGCTATGTAATGGGTTGAATACTGCTTTTACACTGCAGCTGCTATTCTAGTAATAGATCTCTGTAACAAGGTACAGTGTTAAAACTGTATCAAGACTCATCAGAGGAAATCCATGTTGCTGGTACCCACTGTGGCTCCTCCTGAGCCTTCTGTATGGCAGACAACAACTCGGCACATGCCTCTTGCAAGTTGTCATTCACGATTACACGATCAAAAAACTGCCCAAACTGAGTCTCCATTTTTTGGGCTAATTCCTGCATCTCTTGTAGGTCTTCATCCTTCAGTAGAAATAGAAAAATATGGATGACACAGATTTGATGAGACAAATAGAAACAATGCATGGTTTGTTAACCTGTCATTCAATTATGAAGCTCTTTATAACAAGCCAAAAAATATTGTATATTCTACGCTATAAAGATTGTTTAATCTTACCTAATGTCTTCCTGGTCAGTATTTTGCAAAATTTAATAATAGTTTACTTCCTTCAACTTACATGTATACTTAAAGGATTTTACTGTATTACCCAGACACTTGAAGCTCTCAAACTGTACATAGTATAAAACCAAAGGAAATTTACTGGTTTAAATAAAACTTAAGCATAAATGTTAAATGAAGATTAATCATGACATTATCTTGCAAATACAAAATAGTCACTTTTAACATGACCCCATTCTATTGAATTAGGCATACTTAAATTACCCTTTGCTTCATGATGACTTAACTCACCTAGAAAATTGTATTATTTCCGTTATTGTGAAATGTTTATTCAATGAAAGTCATTAAATACACTTCATTTTTATTTATGACAAATAATACAACTCGTTTACCAGTGCAATCTTAAACAATACTAATGCAGGCACTGAAATCTCGTGGCCATGATGCTTTTATATGGTGACTACATGTTCCAGAAACAGTCTTGTCATTGGGTTGTCAGGACAGTCATGGCTCATTTTTGCATAGACAAACATAGAAAAATATAATTTTCCCAATCACCCAATAATTTTTTTAGATTACCACAACAATGAGAACAGTTTTAAATGCCCATAAAACTCAAGAGAACCATTGCATCCACTGTCCAATGCAAACTGGAGAATCAGGCTTTCATTGTCATTTAAAAAACATAATGATGAAAAAAGATAAAGGATAATATAAAGATAATCTCATGCCTGCTTCAGTAGTGCACATACTAAAATTGAAACAATACAGAGATTACCATGGCCCCAGTGTAAAGACACTCAAATTTGCAAAGCGTTCTTTTTTTGTTTGTTTGCTATAGGGTGTATGTGCTCACCAGAAAGAGTGAGTGAGAAATCACACGCCTGGGAGGATTGCAATGAAGCAATTCCTTCTCTTCCACTCTCCTCCTGGGATCTCAGACACACACACACACACACACCACGTGTTTTTCAAGTCTCCAGGTCAAGACTTAAATCATGCAGTTGCCTGTGTGGGATCCAGCTGCCTTAACCACGATGCCATCTGACTGGCCCAGCATTCCTGTTTTTAGTTTGTTTTGCAAGGTGAAAAAAATTCTGGAGGTCTGTTTTATGACAGTATGAATATACTTAACACTAGTAAACTGTACACTTTAAAATGGTTTAGACAGTAAGTTTCACATTATGTATTTTTAACCACATATATACAAAACAAATAGCTGTAATATCTTGATCTGGGTGATAGTTATCTGGGTGTATACACATGTAAAAATTTATTGAGCTGTACATTAAAATGTATATGTCTTACCAAATATATATTATGACTCAAAATATTTAAAGGAAATTTAACATAAAATATATTTTTATTGTCATAAGGCATGTGTGTAAGAGAGAAAATACCCCCTGGTGGGGCACAGTCACACTGAAATCCTTTTCTTCCATTTCTCCATTGTGTCAGTATTTGGGGCATGCACACACACATGCCCAGAATGTTTTTCAGGCTGCTGGGGCTGGGACTTGAATCACAGGCTGCCATGTGGGATCTGACTCCTTATGCCCAGCACTTTACTACTGTGTTATGGAGTAGCCCGTTAAAAAGATATTCAACTAGAAAAAAATATCACCTACTGTACGATGCGTTCACTGATTACCCCCTCCTGGCTTAATCCCTCTTATCATTACCATTACCAGGACCAGCAGTTAGTGTAATGGCTATGTCGCTGGACTCCCATGTAGTCGACCACGGTTCAAGTCCTGGACCCGGCGGCTTAAACTCAACGCCGGGCGCATGTGCGTGCATGCCCAAGATCCCGAGAGGAGAATGGAGGAGAAGGGATTGTGACATGGTCATCCCCATGGGGGATGATTTCTCACTTTCTATCTCTCTGTCTTTCTGGCAAGCACACGCACCCTATAGTGAAAACCTCTCCAAAATAAATAAATAAATAAAAGACCAGCCCTCTCATTACCATTACCATTAATAAACATTTTCTGTGAGATACCTCCTATTACACATGGGGATATACTGAATTAGAGTTTGCTTTTTGTTTTTGATTTTGCTATAGGGTGCATGTACTCACCAGAAAGAGAAAGAGAGTGATAGAGAGTGAGAAATCACTCCCCCGGGGGGATGTCCATGCCACAATCCCTTCTCTACTCTTCTCTCAGGATTCTGGGCACACATGAACCCACCTGTGCCCAGCATAATTCTCCAGCCACCATGTCTGGGACTAGAACCATGAAGCTGGCCATGTGCAATCCAGTGCCCCAACCTCCACACCACCTGCTAGCCCCCATTAGAGCATTTTTAAAGCAAACTTTCAAGTAAAAATAAACAATCTGTCTAAAATACAAATATCAGGCTTGTGTACACCCAATTTCTTTGTAGCTTTGCAAACTATAGCTTAAAGGTATTTTAAAGCTAGACCCCTCCAAAAAAATGAGAAAGAGAAAAATAAGTGTAGAGTTTATTTTAGTATCTGTAAGTGAAGTTCAGTAAAAAGGAAAAAAATCATAAAGGCCTTATTTACTAGAAACAAAAATTGTGGGGACCAGCAGTTAGCATAATGACTATGTCGCCATTGTCCAATGCAAACTGGAGAATCAGACTTTCATTGTCATTGAAAAAATATAATGATGAAAATAAAAGATAAAGGATAATATCTTTTAATAACGTGGGACTCAAACCGCGGTCCCATGTAGTTGACCGTGGTTCAAGTCCCAGACCCAGTGGCTTAAACTCACGCTGGGCACATGTGCGTGCGTGCCCAAGATCCCAAGATGAGAATGGAGGCGAAGGAATTGCGGCCATTCCCCCTGGGGGGGTGATTTCTCGCTTTCTGTCTCCCTGTCTCTCTCTCTTTCTGGCGAGCGCACGTGCCCTATAGGAAAAACCTCTCAAAAAAAAAAAAAAGAAAAGAAACAAAAATTGTGGGAACAATACAATGATTATTTTTCAATCAAACCATTTTATTGAGGGGTTTGGAGCGTGGGAGGGTGCTGAAGAAGGGGTAAAGAGAATGAGCTCAGAGGTCCTCAGCTCAGCCAGGCCAGGCTTGGATCTCCGTAGCCTGATATTCACTGGAAGCAATACAGTGGTTTGTTTGTTTTTGTTTTTGTTTTTGTTTTTGAGAGAGATTTTTGCTATAGGGCACAGGCACTCGCTGGACAGAGAGAGACAGAAAGCCAGAAATCACCCCCCAGAGGGAATGGCCACTCCACAATCCCTTCTCCATTCTCCTCTCGGGATCTTGGGCATGCATACATACACACCTAGCCTGAGTTTCAAGTTACCAGGTCCAGGACTTGAACTGCAGTGAACTATGTGAGAGTCCAGTGATGTAACCACTACACCATCTGCTGGTCCTTTTTTGTTGTTGTTGTTGTTTATTTGTTTGTTTGAGTTTTTTTGCCTTAGGGTGCATGTACTCACCAGAGAGAGAGAAAAAGACAGTGAGAGGAAAAGTGAGAAGTCACCACCCCTCCTCCCAAAAGGATGGCCACACCACAATCCCTTCTCTGCTGTTCTCCTCCTAGGATCTTGGGCATGCATGCTCAATTCACCCAGAGTCAATGTCAAGTCACCCGATGTAGGACTTGAACCATGGTTGACCAGCAACATAACTGCTACACCATCCACTAGCCCCAATACAATGCTTTTTTGATTTGACCTTACTTACCTTGAACTTCATGTCCACAAAGTAGTCAGTAATAATCTTGGCATTTTTCCGAGATCGCCTCATATAACTCATATTAGATGGCTTTATAAATATGATGTAAGGCTTCAGTTCCTGAGTTCGAGCCACCTGAATATCCTACACAGGAAAATTAATTGCACATTTAAAAACAAAGTCCTAACTTCCTAGAGTCAACAAGAATGTTCTCAAAATTCCTAAGAAAACTAGAGATTAGCAATTATTATTGGCCAGAGTATGATCTCATGTGTCCTCAAATTCTCAATTATAAAAAATTTTTTTTTAATAATTATAAAAGGATGGTTTTAGAATAAAAATGAAGTCTAGCCAGTTCTGTGACACAGTGGTAGTATGTTGCTCAAGAGAAGCTGGATCTCATATGACAACTGCAGTTCGAATCCCCAGCCTGGTTGGCCTACAACACTCCAGGTCATGTTTGAGTATCCAGGATTAAAGACGGCATCGCTATGTGGAAGTGGCTTCTCTCTTTCTCTCTCATTTTCATGTGCATGCATGCTATCATGAATAAACAAAAAATAATAAAAAGTTTTTTTAAGTTTGATAAAGTAATTAAGATCAAATCTTGGCCCTTCCTTTTGCTAATTGACTCAGTGAAATCTTATTAGCTGAAGGGATTCTCCACATGAGAGAAACTTAGGGAGAGAAGGATTCTATACACAATACCATGTGACAAGACAATGGGAGGCTCTTGAGACGGATCAGCTCTGTTTTACTCACTTTCCCCTTCTTCTTGCTGTTATTTCACATTGGATACTACTGCCATCTTCACACTCACCACCAGCTTTGGACCAAGAACAAATCTCTCTTCCCCTGATTCCCTTTGGCACTCAAAGTGTATTTTTAAATAATGAAGGGAAATTTTAAAGGACCATAAATATTAGGCCTATGCATTGTACACTCTTTATCTTACCTTAATCTGCCCACCCCTGCTCCATTGCCACACATGGTCTCAGTAGACATGGATAGAACAACATGAGAACTTCGCCAACTTGTATAAAGCAACATCTTATTCCTGTCACAAGAAGTTACTTTGGTGCCTTTGTGATTAAGGTCAAATAAAGAAAGATTCCATATTTTCTTTATGGCCACCCATTCAGTTCTGTTTACATATCTGAGAAGCAAGATTTCCTCAGCTAAAAACAAGATGTTAGCAATTGACATTTCAAATAAGATCCTGACCCTAGTTATGAGACATGGTGTTATTCTTTTTTTTTTTCAGGAGCGGGGTGGGAGGGTGCGATAGGGCATGTGTGCTAACCTAGAGAGAGACAAAGAAAGAAAGAGTGAGAGGAAGTAAGAAATAACCCTCCTAGGTGATGACCATGCTACAGCCCCTTCTCCTCCATTCTCCTCTTAGGATTTTGGGCATGCACACAAATGTGCCTGGTGTGATTTTCAAGCCTCCGGGTCTGAGGCTTGAACCATGGTCGATCATGTGGGAGTCCACCACTTTAACCACTATGCCACTTGCTGGCTCCCATGCCTGGTGTATTTTTTTTTCTATATGCATATTACTGAAATAGATATGATTCATTTATAAATGAAAACAAATGAATAATGTACCGTATCTCAAAGGTTGAAAAAAGCGACACAGTACTAAATACACAACTTTTGATTTTCCTTAGATTCAGTTTTATGGGCTATTGTTATTTTATAATTTTCCTACAGGGTGTGTGCACTTGCTGGAGAGACAGAGCGAGCACAGCGAATGCACTCCCCAGGGGGAGGCCACAGTACAATCCCTTCTCCTTCATTCTCTTTGCAGGATTTTGGGAATGCATGTACACACACCCAGTGTATTTCTTGAGGTACCAGGACTAGGACTCAAACTGTGTAGTCAGTAGCATGGGATCCAGACATTTTAACCACCATGCAACCACTTGGCCTCTGTTTTGTGATTTAATTATACAAAGATGAGTCAGTTCTGCAACCTAAAAATATTTACTTATTAAAAACTATACCAATACTTTAATCAACTATACAAAAAAGATAATGAGACAAACATGTGCATTTATAGAATGAACCATGGTCGATCATGTGGGAGTCCACCACTTTAACCACTATGCCACTTGCTGGCTCCCATGCCTGGTGTATTTTTTTTTCTATATGCATATTACTGAAATAGATATGATTCATTTATAAATGAAAACAAATGAATAATGTACCGTATCTCAAAGGTTGAAAAAAGCGACACAGTACTAAATACACAACTTTTGATTTTCCTTAGATTCAGTTTTATGGGCTATTGTTATTTTATAATTTTCCTACAGGGTGTGTGCACTTGCTGGAGAGACAGAGCGAGCACAGCGAATGCACTCCCCAGGGGGAGGCCACAGTACAATCCCTTCTCCTTCATTCTCTTTGCAGGATTTTGGGAATGCATGTACACACACCCAGTGTATTTCTTGAGGTACCAGGACTAGGACTCAAACTGTGTAGTCAGTAGCATGGGATCCAGACATTTTAACCACCATGCAACCACTTGGCCTCTGTTTTGTGATTTAATTATACAAAGATGAGTCAGTTCTGCAACCTAAAAATATTTACTTATTAAAAACTATACCAATACTTTAATCAACTATACAAAAAAGATAATGAGACAAACATGTGCATTTATAGAACTGCATTATCAGTCAGGCCAGATCCCTGTAGAGGGAATTCCTGGCATAACCTCGTTCATCTGTGAGGACCCAGAGCAATCCTTGTGCAGATGGGCACATTCCTCTAACTTGTCTGGCGTTGTCAGACCTCTCCTTCCTGATGGCTTCCTCCTGCTTGTGAATGTGCACATCCAGTTGTCTGCTTCTTAGAGCAGACATTTGCTTTCCTCATCCACCAGCCATTGGAGGAGGACTGAGGCCATGCAGATGACTGATTTGACCCATTCTTTGGGGACGGTTTCTGGGTAGCCCTCTTCTATCATCATATCTGGAATCAGATGTGTTTCCATAGCCTCTTCTCTTTTTTACATCTTGCTGAAACAGAGTTTTGAAAAACAAAACTACAAACTCGGCTATTCCCCAGGAAAAATGTTATCAAAGATAACCTCCAGGGAACCAGCAGTTAGCGTAATGGCTATGTCGCTGGACTCCCATGTAGTCGACCGCGGTTCGCGTCCTGGACCCGGTGACTTAAAACTCACGCCAGGCGCGTGTGCGTGCGTGCCCAAGATCCTGAGAGGAGAATGGAGGAGAAGGGATTGTGGCTTGACCATCCCCCAGGGGAGCGATTTCTCGCTTTCTATCTCTATGTCTCTGTCTATTTAGCGAACGCATATGCCCTATAGTGAAAACCTCTCCCAAAAAATAAATAAATAAATAAAACAAAGATAACCTCCAGGGGGACTGACTCCGGTTGTCTAATACTTGTCTGTTGGAGATGTAAACCATCAGGCCTTGCGTTCCCTGCTTTGGAGCGATTGAAGAGCTCGGGCCTCCTCAGCTTCTGTATCTCCCGCCTGGTGTATTATTCAAGCTGCCAGGTCCGGGACTCAAACTGCAGAGTCAGTCATGTGGGATTCAGCACCTTTAACACCATGCCACTTGCTGACCCAAGAAGTGGTGTTAAAAGGCTAGCAGAATAAAATGTCTTAGCTACAACCCACAGCATGTTCATGAAACATGACACGCACTCATTACTTTGGGGAGATGAGAAGTGTTCCACCACAGATCTTACCTGGGGTTCCAAGTCCATGACACAGACTTTTCCCGCCTCAAGGACTGCCTGAACAGCCTCCACGCTAGTGCCATACAGGTGGCCTTTGTATTCACCATACTCCAGCATCCTGCAAGAGTGGGACACAGACAGCAAGAACGCCTAGTAAATTACTACTGGTAGTAACATGAAATAAACTCCAATAGGATTGAATATAAACTTGTGGACTTTGTTAGCACAAAAGTATTAGTGAATATTTAGCAGGCGACAAAAGTATTACTGAATATTCGGCAGGAGAAAAACAAAAAAGGAAATCTAGGATTTATCTCCTTTTTCTTTGTTTTTTTCTATCTCCTTTTTCAAGTTCTTTAAAGCTACAATTCTATTTTTCTCCCTTTCTAAGCCATGTGAGTTGCTCTGTCAATGTGCATTTCCTTGCTTCACTCTCCAGAAGCAAAAGGAATTACTTCAGGAGCTTTGGATAATGCATAAAAATAGGGCATCTATTTTGACTGTAAAACAACCAGAGGCGAGAATTCATTTTTGACCCTCTACCTTACCTGTGACTATACATGAGGCTCTCAAACGTTTCCTTGGACACGTAGTGATACTCACGTCCATCTATTTCATAACTCTTTTTGGAACGAGTAGTATCTGTCAAAAAAAGGAATGAAAGGTTTCAGAGTCTTCAGAATGTTTTTATTTATTACCAACATGCACTTGAATAAAGAAATATAAGCTCTACATATATAATATGAATACATATTTTTTTTAAAAAAGAAAAATGCTAGACCCCCAAAAAGAGAGACCCTGAATTGGTAATAAGAAAGAAATTTTTAATTAAAAATAAGTTAGTCTGTGACCTTTATTGAGTTCTCATGGTGTTGAAAATAATGTATTAGAGATTAAGCTAGAAAAACGGGGTCCTATGGAAACTGGCTTCAAAACAGGCATTAATGAATCATGTGTGAACTTAAAGTACCTAAAGTTTCCCAGGTAGAAATACCAGCAATATCTTATGTTGGATAGTTTAGTTTCCATTATCTCATTTCATTCTCCATACTTCTAGCTAGGTAAAATGTTTTCACCCATATTCTACTAGTAAATAAATGAAGCTTTTGGAGAGTAACTAACCTACACACATTCACAAGACACTGAAAAGTGAAGTTGAAACTATAATATAGGTGTTCTAATTCTTCCAAGACTAATGTTTTCTACTATACCGGATTGTCTCATATGTGAAATGGAGGCAATCCATGATTTTCTGCTGTCTTGCCTGGTTGCATTAATACCCAAGTGGTTGCTGGTTTATGTTGAGGACCTCCAAAAGGGAAGGATTGCCTCAATCTGGATTCAGTCTAATTCATTTTTTAAAAAATTTTGCTTTCTTTTTATTCGTGATAGACTATGTGTACATACATGAGAAGAGAGAAAGAGAGAGAGAGAGAAATAAGCACCCTCCACATGGTCTGGTCATGCTGTGATCCCTCTCCTCCAACCCTCCAGTCTGTTGGATCCTGAACACTCATGTGGCATATTTCAGGTTGACCAGTCTGGGGATTTGAACCATGGTTGCCATGGTTCCCACAGAAGCCATGTGGGATCTGACTTATCGTTTTTTGTTTTTATTTATTTAGTTATTCAAATTTTATTTTGCCAGAGGGCAAATAAACTTGCTGGGAAGAGAGATGGAGAAAATAAAAGATCTCCACCTTGAGGAATGGCATACTGCAATCCCTTCTCCTCCATTTCTTCTTCCTCTCAGAGTTTTAGATATGCCCGCACACATGCCCAGTGTGTTTTTTAGGCTACTGGGTGTAAGACTCAAACTGTCCAGTAGGCCATGTGGGATCCAGCTGCCCTAACCACCATGCCACTGGCTGGCACTGATGCAGCCACTTTAATTATAGACTTTTCAACTTAAATAGCAGCCAATATGGAACACAGGAGCTCATCGAATATCTAAAAATTACTTACTCTTTATTCATTCATTTATGTGACTCATGTGTACTATCTGCTGTGCTCCAGGTATCATGGGAGGTTCTTAGAACACAATGATGAATAAGACCGTTCCTGACATGTTGTGTCTTATCTGCTGCAAAGCTAAGCCTTTAATCTACATAACAACACATTTCCCTTATTCCTAAAGAATTTATGTATTTGTATTTGACAAAGTTTAAGAATGAGAGAGATCAGCACTTAATGATATCAACACATGGAAATGATGAAGAAGGAGCTTGAAACAGCCCTAATTGATCAAAGGAGTTAGAGATCTTCAAGGAGCTCACAGAGCAAATATCTTGGTATCATTTTTTGTATTTTTCTTGTTCAAGGCTTTATTAAGATCCTTAGAGTTCCTACAGTGATGTCACTTCTCCTAGAGATTCCTATTGGAAAAAAAAGCTAATAAAACCCTATAGCACTCAGGTAATAGTAAATGATGTTCACATTAACCTAAAATGACCCTTCTTTGCTTCCATTGGACTGATACTATAGTTAAAGTCTATGAATTAGTGCATAACCTGATGTATCAGTTTTAAGGTTAAAACTTTTCACTCAGTTTGTAAAGTAAAATGTTATTTTCTCACTTTACCCTTTAAAATTCTTCACTGTCCTGGGGGGATTTTATTGTTATCCAAACTATTGAAAATGGTCATTTCCTTTGTAGTTCTTATTTTTTTAGATGAATGCCCATTATCGCCAATGCCAGCAGTACTTCTGAAAGCACGACCTATGGGCTATGATTCTAAAGTGACCTTTTTGGTCTTCAGCTGACAGCCTGTGAGACAAGACTTTCTCCTGCCCCTGGATGAACATTTAGCAGTTCCCATGACACTGCTGATCACTCTTGGGTTTAATTTGAAATAGCTACCATCAGGTGGGCCCCGTGGCCTAGTGATTAAGGAAGTCAGATTCCACTAAGCCAATAGCACAGTTCAAATCCTGGTCCCCAACAGCTTGAAAAACATGCTGGGTGCCTGTGCATGTGTGTATGCCAAAAATCCCAACAGGATGGAAAAATGGAGAAGCGATTGTGATATGACCACACCCATGGTGGGGAGCTTCCTTTCTCTCTCTCTGTCCCTCTCTGGTGAGCACTTGTGCCCTCTGGCAAATAATAAATAAAATGTCTACTATCGTTCATGCCGCAATTCATTTCTATCACTCAGTCTCAAGTTAGTCATTAAGATTCCATTTCCATGAAATAGTCAAATTATGAACTTCATTTATATTTTGGCTTCTCCTCCACACATCCGCATTTTTGAGCACGGACACATGCATGTGACTGTCATCGTTAAGGTGGCTGGATCCCACATAGTTGACTGCGCGGATGGAGTCCCAGACTCAGCAGGTTGAAAAACATGCTGGGGGCACATGCATGCCAGCCCAAAATCCTAACAGGAAAGGTGAAGGAGAAGGCATCGGGGCAAGGTCATACCCCATTGGGGTATTTTCTTGTGTTCTCCCTCCTCTCTTTCTCTCTCTCTGTCTCTCTCCAGCAAGTACATGTACCCTCTAGCAAATTAAAAATGAACAAAAAAACCACCATCCATGGTATAATGAGACTTATAAATTTACATTAAGTTATATGTACCTATATTAAAATTTTTAGATTAAAAACTAAATAAGATAATGTATTTAAAAGGTCAACCACAGTTCTGTGAAGATAGTAAGTACTGGGAACCAGCAGTTAGCGTAATGGCTATGTCACTGGACTCCCACGTAGTTGACCACGGTTCGCATCCCGAACCCGGTGGCTTAAAACTCACGCCGAGCGTGTGTGTGTGCGTGTGCAAAATCCCGAGAGGAGAATGGAGGAAAAGGGATTGCGGCGTGACCATCCCCTCTGGTAGGTGATTTCTTGCTTTCTGTCTCTATGTCTCTCTCTGTCTGTCCGGCGAGTGCATGCGCCCTATGGCAAAAACCTCTCAAAAAATAAAAATAAATAAATAAATAATAAAAAAAGATAGTAAGTACTAAAAGAATATTAGTTTTGGATATTAGTTTTCCTGTAAGGTCATCTATATGATTGTTAATAAATAAGACAATTACCTCAGATACTTGTGGCCCATAATCCTGAGAGAAGAATAGAGGAGATGGGATTGTAGCATGGCCATCCCTCCTGGAGGGTGATTTCTTTTTTTGCTTTCTGTCTCTCTGTCTCTCTGGTGAGCGCACACTCCCTACAGCAAATCTCTCTCTCAAAAAACAAACAAACAAACAAATAAACAAAACAAGAAAAATCTAGCTGGCTACAGGCCAGAAAATTAATTCTCTTTATTGAACTAAATATAGTTAGAAATACTTAAGAACTATCCTTCGTGTCTTACGTGCACACAAAAAAGATGGAAGAACATAGTTAGATGAGATCAATACATTTGCAGAGGCAAAGTCTTACCCAAACATGAACTGCTATGAAAGAAAAACTAGGGCCTGGACAGTGGTGCAGTAGTAGTGTGAGCTTCGTGAGTCTGACCCATGTGAGGAGGTTCTGGATTCACATCTGGAGACTGTCCTGGGTACACCAGGCATGTATGTGTCCATGACCCATATATGGAATTGCTAGCTGAAATTGGGGGTGGTTAGCAGTTTGAAGATTCTGTTGGAGGTGCTATTTCTCTTTCTCTCTTGCTCTTTGTATTTCTCACTCATAGACCATATAAATTAATAAACTTCCAAAAAAAGTTAAGAAAGACAAGTAAACATACGTGGCACGGCACTTTGAAAGTGGTTGGGATTAAATTCAATAAGTTGTCTTCTCAGTTCATTAACTCCCACACCAGAAGGTCCTAGACACAAAAAGTCACACATAGAAACCATTAGATGTGGGTAAATATAATTACTTAATGAAATCATACTTTCGGTCTTTCTATTAAAGAAACCATAGGAGAAAAAAAATAGGAAATTACAAAACTTCCCTCCTCACAAATTGGAGCAACCCCAGAAAAGTCTTGAGAATTTTCCTGGTGATCAGCTGAGTAACCCTCACTTGTTTCAATATTCAAAAACGAGGCAAGGAACTGCAGGAACCTGACACCCCAGCCAACTTTATCCAATGTCCAATGCTAAAAGTTTCTGCCTTTATCTCAACCAGAAATCAGCCTCAGTGGCCACAGGTTCTGTGACTCACAGAAGGCAGAGCTGACTTCACGGGCATGGAGCCTGTGCAGTTACACAGCCCATGCTTACAAACACACCATGCCTGGATTAATGCTCTGTTATCACATCTTAAAATTCTTAAAATGTTTTGAACAAAAGAGGCTCTTATATTTGCATTTTGCACTGAGCCCTGCGGATGATGTCACTGGTCCTGGCTTTAAGGCATGTTGTTCTGCTCCCCAGGGGTTTGCCCTGTTCACAGCTAAACATACAGAGAAGCTGGAGAAAGATACAAGTTGCTTTTGCTGCAGGGATCCATTTTACAGAGGTCTTGATCATAAAAGCAAGTCACCCCACTGCAGTCTGTATGTCCTGTTCTTTAGCAGTTGATACAGTCTAGGAGATTTTAGACACTTTTCTGAAGAAAGTAATTACCAGGATCAGCAGCTAGTGTAATGGCTATTACGCTGAACTCCCATGTAGCTAACCGCGGTTCAAGTACCGGACCCGGTGACTTGAACTCACGCTGGGTGAGTGTGCATGCATGCCCAGGATCCCGAGAGGAGAATGGAGGAGATGGTATTGCGGTGTGACCTTCCCCCTGGGGGGTGATTTCTTGCTTTCTATCTCTCTGTCTCTCTCTGTCTTTCTAGTGAGCACACGTGCCCAACAGCAAAAACCTCTCTCTAAAAAAAAAAAAAAAGGTAATTACCAAATTCTTAGGGAAATGAACTTTAAGGATTTTCGTAATACAGTCTAATTATCTAGTCTGGTGATATACCCACCTAGGTGTATAGAACAAATTCTAAACAGGCAAGACCTCATAATAATACAATTTATCACACAAGACTGTCTACACAATGGCATACATGTTCAATTATAGACCCAAAAAGGTTTGCTACAAGTCTTACTTATAAACACATATAAAAGAGGCTTTAAAAAAAATAAAAAAGAGGGCCAGCATGCGGCATGGTGGTTAAAGCACTGGACTCCCACACAGCTGGCCACGGTTTGAGTCCTGGACCTGGCAGCTTATTTTCTTACTTTCTCTATCTCTTTCTCTTTCTCTCTGTGTCTCTTTCTCTCTCTTCTCTCTTATGAGTGTATGTGCCCTACAGCAAATTAAAATAACAATAATCATAATCATGATAAATAAAATTTTGTTTTAAGTTTTGATATAGGTACCCATAAAGAGTTCTACTTTACCACTACTCCCAAAGCAAGACAAGCGAAGCTAGAAGGGAAACTCTCCTAGGATAAGAAGAGACAGTGCACGATGGGACATACCCACGAGCACCACGAGGCGGTGCTTGTCGGAAGGGTGACGCTGGTACTTCACCACCTCCTCGTAAGGGGCACCCACTGCACTGTAGCAGCTGCCTGCGCAGCACACGCTGGCGTGCAGCTGGCTGAGGTGGGACTTCCTGCGGCACAGGCGCATGCTGCGGCGGAAACCAGCTGGAGAGAGCGGAGACAAACAATATAAGGTCAGGGAAGGAGTGATTACTGCTTGCTTCAAGTCTAATACTTACATTTTATGGAGGACAGACAAAAACTTTTTAAAAATTTTTACGTGCTTAGACAAAAGGTAAGTGTATTGAGTGGGGGATGGACAGTACTGGCAGCTTGGCAGAAAGTGTCACAACCTCAGTTAGACCGGGGGCATCTTTGTAGAGGTCGTGGGGAATCAAAGGTCAAGTGTTGGCCACTACCCTGCTTCCAACATTCTTCTGGCTCCGACCACCCACACCAGGTCTCCCTCATTCCCTGTACACACGCCTCTTCACCCTGCTCAGGTCTGACGCCATCCCAGGCTCCTTTTTTCTCCCCTTTGTGCAGCTGCCTACTGTGTTCAGCCCTGCCTAATGGCTTTTGGGCTGAGTGATTCTGGAAGTAATGCAGAAGGTGGCTTCTTGTTTTATGAAAGCTCCCCTAATGGCTGCAGAATACGCCCCAACCTGGGAACCAGCATTCTGGCTTACTGACTCTGGCCCTGCTGCTTTCCCCCCTCACGGAAAATGGAAGTCCGGGATGGTGTTAAGTGAGTGGCATCTGGCCCTCTGAAAGCTCTGCCCAGGTGACAGATTACAGAAATGTGGCCATAAAAAGCGAGCTTCATAGAAAATTGATCTTTTCAGAGTAAGAGAAATAGGTTATGGAACAGTCTGGAAGATAATGGAGAAATCTGTGTTTGATGAGTAATCAAGAGATACCCAGTGAAATGAAATGAACAACAAATGTATTGAGAATAATAAGAGCCCATAGATCAGAAGATGGAAAAAACAGACTGAGGGAAACCAGAATAAGGGACAAGTTTAAAAATGTCTATCAGTGGGAGAAGCTTCCGGGAGCGGGTCAGGCCGGTGTGAATATAACTTAGCCAGTGACAAAGACCCAGCTGTTATTGATCATTACGTACCAATATAGAACTTCTGACCATAGCCAACAAATTCCTCCTTGTCTGAAAGAGAGAGAAGGTAGAAAAGAATGCCTGAAGGTGAGTAAAGTTTACTAAAAACAAATGCATAAAGGCATCTTCAGATTTTCCAGCAGAGAGAAGCACAGTTGAATTTATTCCTCAGTGGCCTATTGAAGAATGTCTTAAGAACTTTCCATCCTATACGCACATACAACAAACTAGAGAGAGAGATTCCTCAGAATTTTAGCATTATGTGGAATGTCTGGTATGATGAGAACAAGTAACTATTTCAGGTTTGTCTAAAGTTACAAGAAAGATATTGAGTCATAGTAAAAATATAAAAACTACATATACATTTTTAAACATGCCCCGAGACAACTGATTTTTTTTTTTTGAGAAGTTTTCGCTATAGGACGCATGCGCTCGCCAGACAGACAGAGAGAGACATAGAGACAGAAAGCGAGAAATCACCCCCCAGGGGGGATGGTCACGCCGCAATCCCTTCTCCTCCATTCTCCTCTTGGGATCCTGGGCACGCACGCACACGCGCCCGGCGTGAGTTCTAAGCCACCGGGTCCAGGATGCGAACCGCGGTCGACTACGTGGGAATCCAGCAACATAGCCATTACACTAACTGCTGGTTCCCGAGCCAACTGATTTTTAAAAAACCAAATAGACAAACTGGTTTTGGTTTTAACTTATGGTGTTCTGTAGGTCATGTCACTCATGTTTTTGTTTGGCATAGGTTTTTATCTCCTCCTTTATAAAATGGCTCATTCAATTTGCTCTATGACTGCCAGTTTTTGTTGGACTGGTCAGGAGTTCGAGACAAAGTGAGGAAAACTGCGTCCAGTGCTGCTGAAGCATTTAGGGTTGGTTCAGACTCTTATTTCTGCTTCCGTTGGCACCTCAGAAAGATTGTTTAAAGTTCCAGGAAAAATGTTATGAAAATGTTCAAATTACTTTTTACTGAAGTTTCTTATCATGTATACAACTCTGTTCTAAATACTAAAATAATATACAAAGAGCATCTATTCATAGCATGAACTGACATATACACCGTTTTTCATTAATTTTTTTCTTAAACACACATTTTTAAATACAAAATAATTATTTTATGTAACTTTATTTATTTATTTTTAATTTGACCAGAGAGGGACAGAGAGATAGAAAGAGAGAGAGAGAGAGAAAGAGAGAGAGAATGTGAGAAAGTAAGCCACCAAGTCTGGGACTCAAACCACTGGCTGTGTGGGAGTCCAGTGTCCTTAATCACCATGCTGCCTGCCGGCCCCAGTAAGCATACATTTTTAAAGACAAGATCTAGCTTTGTCATAATGATCCTGTTCAGTCCCCAAGTACATGGAGCTAGAGGAGTTTCTCACCATGCCTGGCTCTTAGGTTGGACATAAATCAGTACTTGCTATGAAGGCTAGGACTGTAAGCACATCTTTCTAACTGAAATATGTCAAGAAATTTAGATGGATGTGTTTATATTTAGGGATAGATTCATAAAGCTTGATTATTTTCTGTATTCACTTTTAAATGTTTTCTATGAAATTGAATGTTTAATCATTGATTTCACACTTCAAATACGTTTATCTTAAAAGTTATTCTGTCAGGACCAACAGGTGACTTAGTGGTTAAGGCACTGGATTCCACATGGCCAACTCTGCCCTTTGAGTCCTGGACCTGGCAGCTTGAAAATTATGCCAGGCATGTGTGTGTATATGCCAAAAATCCTGAAAGGAGAATGGAGAAGGGAATGCAATATGACCATCCTCCCAGGGGGTGATTTCTCACTTTCTCTTTCTTTGTCTCTGTCTCTCTCCAGCAAATGTATACACCCTGTGTCAAAAAATAAATTAATTAAAGTTATCTTGTCAAGTATTCACTTTGCGACATTGAAAGATCTTAAACTAGCTCTATTTGGCAAACCCAGGAAATAAAAAAACAATTACCTTCTGAAAGTTCCTCTGGATAGTTGAGTAAGGGCAGAAACAGATATAAAAAAGTTAAGGCTTTGAGAGGATCAAGTTAACTATCAATAAAGGCAAATGACATCCACGAGGCATTCACATCACCATTAGCAAAAGCTGTAACTTGGATAAAGCCTGCTAAGGCAGATGAACAACACTGAACTAGGGACTCAGAAACTCATTTGACCTGACTCTGCTGCTTGGGTACAATAACTTTGTCTGCAAGTTGCCCATCAAGGCTCTTCCTGGGGGCCAGCAGATGGCATAGCAGTTATGTTACTGGACTCTGGCCTGGCCAACAGCGAATGGAGTCCCACAGCTGAAAATCATGCCAGGCATGTGTGTGTGCATGCCCAAGTTCCCAGGAGGAAAATAGTGAAGGAAGAATTGCAGTATGGCCATTTCCCTGGAGGGTGATTTCTCACTTTCCCTCTCACTGTCTCTGTCTCTCTCTGGTACCCTAAGGCAAAAATCTACAAAAAAAAAAACCCCAAAAAAACAAAAAAACAACAAAAAAAAAACCCCAAAAACAACCAAACAAACAAAAAACTCTCTGAATGCTTTTTATCCACAAAGACTCTACTTCGTTAGGACAAGATGGAACTTGCAAGAGAGAAGATATAGGAAGACAATACATTCGAAGCACTGCCCACAGAGGATGGTCATGCCACAATCCCTTCTCATATATTTCTCCTTTTGGGATTTTGGGAACACATACACACACAACTGGCATGTTTTTCAAGTCACCAGGTCCAGAACTCGAACTATGCAGTTGGCCATGTGGGATCCAGCTGCCTTAACTACCACACCATGGGCTGGCCCCAGAAATACTAGTTTATATTTGTAATGAGTGTTGTCCCGCAGGACATTCAGAAGATATGTGAGCCTAGGGAGCCACACATGATGGTGCAGGACAGTCTCCTACTCTGCGGGACGTCTAGCATTCCTGAGTCCTACCAGTTAGAGACCAGTACTACCCCTATCAGTGTGACAACCAAAACTGGCCCTATAGAGTTCCAAAATACTGCCTCAGGGACAGCAGTGACTTGACTCTATAAGAAGCCCTGGATAAAATGAAATTTATAATATCTCATAACTATACTGTTGATGTATTTTGAAAGTAAATTTCATTTTGTATATATGAAGTTGACAACATGATGTGGTACATCTAGATAGCAGGATGGTTAGTATACTGAAGCAAATTAACATGTCTATCATGTCACATAGTTACTTTATGTTTTTATTGTAGATGTATTTTAACAATTACTGTATCATACCCTAAATATATATTTAAATCATACTAAAATTTGTACTATACATTTAAAAGCCAATACCAAATACTCATTTTTCACTCACCAGATTCAAATGTTTCTTCATCTATGGTTTTCCATGGAGGCAAAAACCAAAAATGTTATTATATTATTACCCACACTGAGTCAATACATTAACTGCCTAATTCCCTGGCCTATAATTCTCCCTGCTTCTTTTTTCCCTAAATTGAATTCAAAGCAGTGATTTTTAAAAATTATTTAATTTTACTTATTATTATTATTATTATTCAATTCAATAAGAAAGAGACAGAGAGAGAGAGGGAAACTGAGAAAGCAAGTCACACGGGCCAGGACTTGAACTGCAGTCGGCCATGTGGGCATCCAGCACCCCAATCACCATGCCACTTGCAGGTCCCAAAGCAATAATTTTTGATGGGATATATTGGGTTGTCAGAAGTCATGATGTATTTTTTTTCTATTTTTCAAAGGTCACTTGTTTATATAAAGAACAAAGATCAATCAATGATATATTGCCTATTTTGTTGGAGAACTTTTCGCCATCTTTCAGTGAGCTTCATAATTCCTCTTTCATAGAAGGACCTGTCTTTATCAGTGAAAAACTGAACAAGGTGCTGATTTACAGCCTCATCTGAATTGAACATTATGCCACTCAAGGAGTTCTGAAGTGAGCAAGGTCAGGAGAGTGTGGTGGGTGTGGCAACACATCCCATCCAAGCTCCAGTAATTTTTGATGGGTGATCAACTTGTGTATGGTCTCACATTGTCATGATGGAACACAATTCCTTTACGATCAACAAGCTCTGGATGTTTCTGAACAACGGATTCAGTCGAACTGTCCAACTGCCAATAGTATACATTCAGATTGATTGTTTGGTTCCTTAGTAGAGCTCAAAAAAAATGACACCTTGAAAATCCCACCACACCGAGAATATTCCCTTCCTCTGATTAATGTCTGCTTTCAATGTTGTTTGAGGCAAATCATCACTTTGGAACCAAGACCATTTGTGCACTACATTGCTGTAAACAATCCACTTCTCATTACCAGTTATAAATCACTTCAAAGAAGGATCATTTTCCTCATGTTTAATGAGCGTATTGCAGATGTGTATGTATGTTGTCAAATGAAATTCCTTAATGCCATGTTCAGTGTAGCCAGAATGTAGGACCCAAGGAAATGTGAGCAAGGTAGAACACATAAGACAAGTGATTATTTTCTGTTGTTTTTTTGAGGAGAGGTTTTTTTGTTTTGGGGTTTTTGTTTTTGTTTTTGTTTGTTTTTTTTGCTAGAGGGTAGGTGTGCTCATCAGAAACACAGAGACAGAGACAGACAGAAAGCAAGAAATCCCAGGGGGGATGGCCATGCTGCAATCCCTTCTCCTCCATTCTCTTCTCAGGATCTTGGGCACGCATGCACATGTGCTTGGTGTGAGTTTTAAGCCACCAAGTCCAGGACTTGAACTATGGTTAACTACATGGGAGTCCCGCAATATAACCATTTTGTCATCTGCTGGTCCTGGCAAGTAATGATCTTTAACAGGGAGACCGGGGGGCTCACAGTCAGAGAAGTGCAGCCCAGACTGGATGATTCTCCATACATTTATTAAATAAGAAGGTGCCATAGGGGCAGTAAGCATTTGCTAAAGTTTTACGCTGCCAAGATAGTAATAGGGCTGTGAGACATGTTTAGGGAACTTGCCGAGCTCTTAATCCGGCCAATACGGTCACAAGTTCCTGTTTTCAGGGCAGAGTGAGCGCAGTGTTTTGTGTTTTCTCACTGTTATGTGCACATTAACCATTTCAAGGTCCAAGCGCTCTGCAACACTTCAAGTTCATGAAGAAACCAAATATCGAGCTCGCTTACGTATCTCAGCTTCTTTGGGTGGTTGTAAATGCCTGAATGATGGATGCTCAATGTTTTTGCAATCTCTTGGGTCATGTAACATGGATTTAACTCGATCAATGCCTTTATTTTGTTGTCATTGACCTTGGTGGGCCTCCCTAAGCAAGGAGCATTGTGGAGATCAAAATCACCAGGAAGATACTTTGTAGACCTCGTTGGCACTGATATTCTTGTAGAGCATTGTCACTGTAAACTTTATGCAACTTTTCTCAAGCTTGATGCTCGTTCTTCTCTTTATGGAAGTAAAAGAGTAAAATATGGCAAAAGTGCAGTGTGGTCTTTCATCCTCAACTTGTAAAATCTCTAAAATGCAACCAAATCACTTAATTTTTTTTTAGAATAAAGCTAGAACTGTCAGCTGTCAAATGACACAGCAATAATGTACAGATGCGAATGACTCTGGTACTTCAGTTACCTTGAAAACTGAACTAGTGCCACCTGTTGCAAAAGTGCATAATGGCTTTTCTGACAACCCAATATAAGCCTTAAAGAAATTCATGGCAGTTAGCAGTTGGGCCATGGTGACCAAGCAGAGGACAGTAAAAGTTAAAAATAAAATTTAAAACAAAAGAGTTTTTTTTTCTTTTAGGTTTTTTTTTTTTTTTGAGAGTTTTTTTGCTAGAGGGCACGTGCGCTCGCCAGACAGACAGAGACAGACAGAGAGACAGAAAGTGAGAAATCACCCCCCAGGGGGGAAGGTCATGCCACAATCCCTTCTCCTCCATTCTCCTCTCAGGATCTTGGGCACACACGCACATGCGCCCGGTGTGAGTTTTAAGCCACGGGGTCTGGGACTTGAATTGCGGTCAACTACGTGGGAGTCCAGCGACATAGCAATTATGCTAATTGCTGGTCCCTCTTTTAGATTTTTGCCACAATTTGTGTGTACTTACCAGAGAGGCAGAGAGGGGGAAGGTGAAAAATCACCCCCCAGGGAGGATGGCCAGGCCACAATCCCTTCTCCAGTCTTCTCTTGGGATTCTGGGCACACATGCACACACATCTGGCACACTTTGAAGCTACTGTGTCTGAGATTTGAACCACGGTCAACCATGTGGAAGTCTAGTGTTTTAACCACTATTCCACCTGCTGGCTCCCCAAAAAAATAAGATTTAAGAAGACTCTCAGAGGAAAGGAAAAAGTGGAATGTCACAGGAAACGCCTACAGATTGTTAGATATCACACAGCACTGTTCCTGTGGGTTTGCAGAGGTAAGAGTGATGTGCCTTGCCTGAAGAGTTGGGGGTTCACGAGCCAGGGGTGTATGGCAAGCAGAACAAATACATGAATGGCTTGATTGAGTAGGTTTGTTCAGCTGACTGAAGAAGATATGAAATAAAACAACCTCCTCATTAATCAAAGCAATTCTCGTTAGAGTTTTAAAAGAGATTAAGGGGCTGGGACCAGCAGTTGGCATAATGGCTATGTCGCTGGACTCCCATGTAGCCAACCTTGGTTCGAGTCCTGGACCCGGTAGCTTTAACTCATGCCAGGCACATGCATGCCCAAGATCCCGAGAAGATAATGAAGGAGGAGGGATTGTGGCATGGCCATCCCCCCGGGGGGTGATTTCTCACTTTCTGTCTCACTATCTCTCTCTTTCTGTTGAGCATATGCACCCTATAGCAAAAACCTCTCAAAAAAAGAAAAAAAGAGACTGGGGGACAGGCAGATGGTATAATGGTTATGTCGTGGGACTCCCACTTAATCTACTATGGTTTGAGTCCCAGGCCCTGTGACTTAACATTCATGCTGGGCATATGTGCCTACATGTGCAATATCCCAAGAGGAGAATGGAGGAAAAGGGACTATGGCGTAGCCATCCCCTCTTGGGGGGTGATTTCTTGCTTTCTGTGTCTCTGTTTCTATCCCTCTGGTGAGTACACATGCTCTGTAGCAAAAATCTCTCTCTCAAAAAAAAAAAATAGAGATAAGGATTAGGAACTATGATGTCCGTGGAAGGGAATTGGGAATACATAGCAACATTACCAACTCAAGCACCCTGGGAGCAGGCCATGCTGCAGCCAAAGTATATTCACTTTGTGAGATGTGTGTGAGATGACATGCTTACAAAGCTAGTAACTGTTGCTCCACTTACAATAGAAAAGGTTGGACATAATTCAAGTGTCTACAAATATGTGATTATGCAATAACTTTTTGCTTAGATTTCTTTTCTCTTCTCTTCTCTTCTCTTCTCTTCTTTTCTTTTTTTTTCTTTTCTTTTGCTATAGGGCATGTGCACTCACCAGAAAGACAGAGAGACAGAAAGCCAGAAATCATCAAATCATCCCCCCTGGGGGGGGATGGCCATGCCGCAATCCCCTCTCCTCCATTCTCCTCTTGGGATCTTGGGCATGCACGCACATGTGCCCAGCATGAGTTTAAGCCACTGGGTCTGGGACTTGAACCGTGGTCGACTATATGGGAGTTCAGCAACATAGCCATTACACTAACTGCTGGTCCCTACAATAACTGATTTAACTAATAAGCCATTAAAAAGAAAAAAAGGGGTGGAGACTCTTTAAATACTAAAATAGAATTGTCTCCAAGATACATAATGTTAAGTAAAAAAGCAGGAATAGAACAATTTGTATAGCATACCATGAAAGGGTCTATGCAGTTGTGTTTGGGTGAAAAAGGTGAAGGTCAGGAGCAGGAGAGAACATACATCATTGTTTTTTTTTTTTTTTTTTTGGAGAGGTTTTTTTCGCTATAGGGCACGTGCGCTCGCCAGACAGACAGAGAGAGACAGAGAGACAGAAAGCAAGAAATCACCCCCCAGGGAGGATGGTCACGCCGCAATCCCTTCTCTTCCATTCTCCTCTCGGGATCCTGGGCACGCACGCACACACGCCCGGCGTGAGTTTTAAGCCACCGGGTCCGGGACGCGAACCGTGGTCGACTACGTGGGAGTCCAGCGACATAGCCATTACGCTAACTGCTGGTTCCCCATCATTGTTTTTTATATACACACAATGTGTCTGGAGGGATACTGAAAAAACTGATAGCATTTCTTACCTTAAAGAAGAAAACTATGTAGGGGAATGTGGAAAGATGAGAACTTCTTACTGAACATACTTTTGTAGTTTCTGAACTTTTAACTAGGTGAATGTATTATCTAATAACATTTTTAAATTATAGAAAGGAAATGACTACTAGGGCCAGCAGATGGTGTGGTGGTTAAGAGCGCTGGACATGTCCAGCTGCAGTTCGAGTCCTGGACCTGGTGCCTTGCTTTCTCTCTCTCTCTCTCTCATTCTGTCTCTCTCTGATCAAATTAAAAGAAAGAAAGAAAGAAAGTTAAATAAAAATAATTCTAAAAAGAAAAAAGAAATGAAATGACTATTATTGCAAGTTAAAAAAAATGAGAATGTATACTGGGTAAAATATAGTCAGAATTATTTTGTAGTTGTTCTAGGAAATATATGTGAATCTTTTTTTTTTTTTTTGGAGGTTTCTGCTATAGGGTGCGTGTGCTCGCCAGACAGACAGAGAGAGACAGGGAGACAGAAAGCGAGAAATCACCCCCCAGGGGGGATGGCCACACTGCAATCCCTTCTCCTCCATTCTTCTCTCGGGATTCTGGACACGTACACACACGCACCCGGAGTGAGTTTAAGCCACCGGGTTTGGGACTCAAACCGTGGTCGACTATGTGGGAGTCCAGCGACACAGCCATTATGCTACCTGCTGGTCCTGTGAATCTTTGAAATACATATTACTTAAAGATTTCATATTGTTCTTTCATTTCTAAAAACTCGATTAGCCCATGAAACCAAGATGAACATACCTGTCAGAATCAAGTCTGTCCAACGGCTCTCCCAACCAAACCCTAGGGATTCTTGAGCCCATCTTAGTTCTGCCACTGAATTTGAAAACTATTTCCCCAATTTAAATAACAAAACAAAACCAAACCACTTAACTATAGAAGTGTAAAAAGCAGACTAGCATGTGGTGCAGAGGTTGAGGCAGCTGTATCCCATGTGGTCAACTGGACAGTTTAAGTCCCAGACCCAGCAGCTTGAAAAGCATGCAGGGCATATGTGTGCCCAAAATCCTGAGAGAAGAATGGAAGAAAAGGGATTGTGGCATGGCCATCCATCTCGGGAAGTAATTTCTCACTTCATTTCTCTCTTTATCTCTCCCTCTGTGTCTCTCTCCAGTGAGCACATGTGCCCTGTAGCAAAATAAATACATAAATAAATAAATAAAGTAGAAAAAGCTTTCATATTTTTCTCAAAATCTGTCTATACAGGAATTTACCAAAAGACAGTACCTGACTAAATAACAAAACAACTGTCCAGTTGACCACATGGGATACAGCTGCCTCAACCTCTGCACCACATGCTAGTCTGCTTTTTACACTTCTATAGTTAAGTGGTTTTGTTTTGTTTTGTTATTTAAATTTTGCTTATTAAAATTTTGATATGGAGACCAGGAGATGGCATAATTGTTATGTCACTGGACTCCCATGTAGTCAACTGTGGTTCAAGTCCCAGACCTGGTGACTTAAAACTCATGCCGGGCGTGTGTGCATGTGTGCTCAAAATCCTGAGAAGACAATGGAGGAGAAGAGATTGCAGTGTGGCCATTGTCTCAGACGGTGATTTCTTGCTTGCTATCTCTCTCTCTCTCTGTCTCTCTGGCAAGTTTACACACCTTATAGCAAAAATTTCTCTTAAAAAAGTTTGATATGTCAGGGCCCAGCAGGTTGGCATAGTGGTTAAGGAATTAGGTTCCTGCATGGTTGACTCCAGTTGAAGTCCCAGACCTGGAGGATTGAAACTCACACCAGATGTGTATGAATGCGTGCTCAGAATCCCAAGAGGAGAATGGAGGAGAAGGGATTGTGGCATGGCCATTCCCCTTGGGGAGTGATTTCTCATTTTCTGTCTCTCTGATTCTCCGGCAAGTGCATGCACACTATAGCAAAACAAAACAAAACCAAACCAAAAATCTGTCAAAAAATGTTTTTGATATGTCAATATTTTATGATATTTGACAAAGACTTGACAGTTTCTACGTTTTCCATTATCTGATAGTTGAATGTTACTAAGTGTTCCTGATGTCATTTCCAAGGTTCTGCTTTCTAGAACACTTTCTGGTGGCTAGTGGGAACCTAGGGATGGTCCCACAGCTGTGCTTCTCCTTCCAAATTCTGGAACCACAGGAAGAGAATGGGGGTGAGGAGGATATCATGTGTTTTATTTTTTACTAAAGGACACATATACTCACAGAGAAAGGGGGAAAGCAAGAAAGCACCTCCCCCTGGAGAATAGTCATGCTGCAATCCCTTCTCCTCCATCTTTCCCTCCTTTTGGGATTTTGGGCATGCATGCACACATGCCAACATGTTTCTCATGCCACTGGATCTGAGGCTTACACTGTGAGATTGGCTATGTAGGATCCACCTGCCTTAACTACCAGGCCTTGGAGCCAGCCCATGGAGGTGTGTGTGTGTGTGTGTGGGGGGGTTATTTCACACATTTCTTCCAGAGGAAAGGCCTGTGCCCCCTTCAGCTGATTCTGCTTCGTAATGTCTAACTGAAGTGCTTCAGAAAGCTTCTGGTGCTAAATCAAGATGAAACATTACCTGCTTCCACACATTTCTCATCAATCTTCATGTCATCTTCTAGAAAAGAGCATAGAAAGGGGAAAACAGAGTTTAAAAAATGTGTCAACATTAAAAACAAAATTCCTATGTATGGGCTTATGTAAATAAAACTCAGACCATCTTATAATAACATTACTCTAAGAACTATCTCTCATTTAAAGAGATAAAGAGGACTCTACTGTATTATATGAGAATGTGTGATATGGAGGTATATATAAATGTTGTATATTGTATATTTGGAAGGCTATCTAACATAAATGTTGTATATATGGGAGGTTATATAACATAAAATGACCAAAACTTAAGAAGCCTGGGATTTTGAATGTTGGACAAAATAGTCTATTTCTAGCCTCTTTTCCATCCGTAAATGGAGGGTTGGCAATATTCACTATCTTGTATAGGATTAACTGAGATAATTCATGAGAAGCTCCAGCATATAGAAGTATTTAATAAATGTAAACTATTTTTACCTAGTCAGGTATATATAGGAGAATGAAAAAAAAAAACTTTACAAACAACTTATTCTAACAGTCAAAACCCTTCACGACATGAGCTGAACTGAACGTGGAAGACCACTGTCCATTTCTCTCTTTCACAGATCTTATACCATATTAAGGTGGATGTCATAGTCTTTCCTCTGTGTCTTTGCTTACACCGCTGCCTGGAAAGCATCAAAAACTATCTCAGAAAGCAATCAAAATAAACATGCCTGCTAAGAACCCACATAGCATCCTTTTCCTACTACCTTGAACTTTCTGCACCTACACATCTATACCACTTTGTAATAAAACCATTTAGGCGTTGGCTTTATTCATGCTCCTAAATAGTTCCTTGAAAGCAGGAACTATCTTACTAGATTTTACATACTCTCTAGAGCTTAGGAAAGTGTTTTACAGACGGTAGTATGTGATTAGTTATTAAATTGAATTTTCCTTTAAATATCAAAATACTGCATTTTAATGTTCACTCTGAAAAAAAATAATTGTTTCTTTCATCACTGAATACCTTGTGCCTAGCACAGTACCCAGCACTTTCCAGTGTTCAACAAATCATGGTTCAATAAATGAGTCTTACATATATTCCCAAAGTAGGCTATATGAAAGTATTAACATCAAGTGAAATGAGCTAGATTATGAAAGACAAACACTGTATGTCCCCTCTTAACATATACCGAGCGTCTGCTCACATGGTGGCAACTGAAGGACTCGATGGCAAGTAAATAGAGTGATGGTAGATGTCAGAAGCTTTATGAGAGACTGTGAGGAGGGGTCAGGAGAAACTGATTAACAGACAGAAGAATGCATGTGCACAAGTGCAATTGGTTATAGAATGGTCTATCACAGCACAGTGAAAAACACTGTTGACAGGAACCAACAGATGGCATAATGGTTACATCACTGGACTCCCATATAGTTGACTTTAGGGACCTTGATTTTGGACTTCCTAGATCAACAACTCCATGTTAATGTCTAGGGTGGGACAGAACTGTATCCCTGCCCCTAATATATGTATGTTGAAGCCCTAACCCCTGCTATGACTGTATTTGCAGACTGGGACTTTAAGTGAGTAATCAAGGTTAAGATTAAAATGAGGTCATAAGTACTGGTGGCCTTCTAAGAAGAGGAAGTGACACCAGAGATATCTCTCTCTCCAAGCATGCAGGAAGGTCACAAGAATAGGCAGCGAGAGAATGGCGGTCTACACACCAAGAAGCGAGTCCTCACCAGAAACCAACCCTGTTAGAATTTCTATCTTAGACTTCCAGCCTTCACAAGTGCGAGAGAATAAATGCCTTTGCTTCAGCCACCCATTGAATGATTATAGCAGTCTGAACTAGGATAGTGGCTGATTATCCACCGATACCACAGCATCCCAAGTCCTGCCCAGGGGCATGCCCAGCCTGTCATGTGGCCCTGGGAAGACAAACCCAGAAGCAGAGGTCCTGGGCTTACCATTCCCCACCTCCTCCTGCTCCTATTTCTCTCCCATCTTCCTAGCTTGCACACCTCTTCTGTCCTTGGGGTACACTGGCTGGAGTCCTATATTTATAGGTCAGTTTTCAAAGGTCACCATTGTGCAATTTTCTGGCTTCCCTTTCCAATTTCCGGGATGAAATGGAAGTGATGAACAAGGGCACTACTTTTCTCTCACCTCTCCACTCCTCACAAGCAGACAGCAACTTGCTTTCTTTTCTGTTCTAACCTTTTCCTTTATTTCATCCATGAGTAAGAGAGACAGAGAAAGAGAGACAGAAACAGAGAGACAGCACCCCAAACAAGGTCAATAGGGTCACGACGCTGTGATCCACCCTCAGCTTCAGCCATCCTCAGATTGTGGCACATGTGTGCTCAGCATATTCAGGGAGGCCTCTGAACGTGAACCTGGAGCCTTGGCCAGTGGGTCAGCCTCGCAGAGCATTGCATTTTACTGCTGCACCACCAGCTGGCCCCATCTTGCTTTCATGCTTCTGTGAGTGTGGGTATGACATCATAATGAGTCATCTGGATGGCTGGACATGGAGAAGGGGAAGAGATAATAACCAAAAGTGCCATCTGCCCCTGATGCAGGGCCCTGCAGACAGGCAGAAGCTTGAATCCAGACTACACTGTTAGCAACTTCTGATAACCATTCTTAATTTCTCCAAACCTCAATCTTTCCCTCCATAAAGTGGGAATAGTAATAACACTTTCCTTACAGTGCTATGTTCTCATAATAGCTACAAAGTAGTTGAAACAAAACACCTGATGAATTTCATAACAACTTTTATTGAGCTCTTACTGTAAGCTGTATTAGACTCTGGAGCTAATATGGCACGTAAATGTTACTTCTTTTTTAAAAATCCCTCTATTAGTACAATCACACTTGGCATGCATTCTTTTGGCTGACACCACTTTATTAGGGTCTTCGTGATGAGCACACTACTAGGCACATAAGAGGAACTTAACGAATAGCTAAACTGAATTGAGTTAAGAAAACTACAGGAAATTTCTAGGAGAATTTGAAGATGAGGATCTTTTCCTATATACTATTTCTTACCTTCTTCCATGGAAATCACTGGATACAGATGAATGAAGCAGGGGGGAAAAAAACCCACAGTCATTGATCCTTTAGTTTCTTGGATTAATTTACTTACAATAAGAAAAACCAAGTGCCCAGATTACTGTAGTTAATATTCTGGGTTTATCCTTAACATAATCAGAAAAGGCTTAGTAACAAAATGATAAACAAGTACCTTATAGAAATGCAGCTGTGAGCCTTGTTAGAAATGGGTATCTACTTTTTCTAGAAAACACCAGCCCTTTCCATCCAATAACATCTATAAAGGTTGTATTCTCCTAAATTATAAATTAAAGTGCTTAGTTCAGCATATTTGATAAACTCAAATCTTGAATGAAAGGAAGGAATGAAGAAAAAAGGAGAGTGAAGAAGGAGGGGGAAAGAGATGAACAACAGTTATAAGTGCATCTTTGGTAAATAACTTGCTAATAACCATCCCCGCACTAACATATGTATGGAGTTTTTCAGTAATTCTTGATGAATAAAATTGCCCATACCTCTTGACCCAGTAGCCTGACTGCCCTTGAGATTGTTTTCTATGGTTAAGATTTAAATAGAGCAGAAACATACAGAATAATGTTGATTGCAACATCATCTGTAACAGTTAATTTTTATTTTTGGAGGTTTTTGCTATAGGGTGCGTGCGCTCACCAAAAAGACAGAGAGAGACAGAGGGATAGAAAGCAATAAATCACCCCCCAAGGGGGATGGCCATGCCACAATCCCTTCTCCTCCATTCTCCTCTCGGGATCTTGAGCACGCACGCACACGCACCCAGCATGAGTTTAAGCCACCAGGTCTGGGACTCGAACTGCAGTCGACTACATGGGAATCCAGCAACATAGCCATTACGTCAACTGCTGGTTTCAACAGTTAAAAATAAAATAAAAAAGATCTAGTAGTCCAAAAAATAATGATCATGCTCCCTGAGAAACTTTCCCTATGAGAGGTGACTCTTTAAAATTAGTGGCTCCAACCCTGGGGTTCTTGGACTTAGAGATTTGTAAGGATAAGAATAGAATGATATAGAACCAGCTCCATATTTTGGGGTTAGCAAATGGCATAGTGGTTAACGTGCTGGACTCCCACATAGCCAACTGGGGTTTAAGTCATGGACCTTGTGTCTTGAAAATCACACTGGGCGCATGTGCATATGTGTCCAAAACCCCAGGAGGAGAATGGAGGAGAAGGGATTGTGGCATGGCCATCCCCCTGGGGGTTGGGGGGATGATTTCTTACTTTTCCTCTCATTGCCTCTCTGTCTCTCTCCAGTAAGCACATGTGCCCTATGACAAAAAATTAAACAAAGAAACTTTTAAAACACGGGAGAAATAACTATGATATCACTATGATGATTATATTATAAAAATGTTTCTGATACCATGTCAAGCTTTAAAAAAAGATAAATAGTATTGCAGCTTTTACTATAAGCATGTAAAATATGTATCTCTAACTGGAAGGTAATATGAAAATACTGTCAGTGACAAGAAATTGTAAGAGTGTTTTCCTTCAGAAATACTTAAGAAGATGTCATAGATCTTTTTGATAGAAAAATAAAGGAAAAAGCAATTTTTGGTTTAGAAAAGTGAGAAAAAATGGGGTAAGGATGTGTTATAAACTAGTCTGTAACACTAGTCCTGTTGTTGACTTCCGTGCTCTTTCAGTCTCCTCTTTATGCCCCCTCCCTTCTCCAGGCACCTTCATCACTTCCTTAACTCCTTCCCAAAGCCTGCCAGACCACCATTTCTGAAAGGCTTACTCAGAGGGCTCCAGCCAGGCTCTGCCCAGCTGACATACCCTTGATTAAGGCAGTCGGTAGTCCACAAGTGTCTATCACCATGGATCCTTTACTAACAACCGCCATTTGAATAATATCGTCTAGCAATCAAACTGCATTCCTTAAGTAATAATATCCATTTATCAAAGGCACCCATGACTATCAATCGGTGCTTCTCAACAGTGTGAAATTGAAGCCCTGTAAACTGATAGAACCCAATGAAGATTTGTGTGCAGCTGTGAAGCCTTGCTTGCCAGTCGATGTAATGCATGACAAGAGCTGCAGAGATCTTGGGGGACTTCGAGCTGGGGAGGGGTGACTTAAGGTGCCTCCATTACCAAAACATCTGTATTTTCATTAATGGTAAGCTTGTCTGAAACCAGAGGAATGAATGAATGTGGTAGGAGTTCAAGTAACTGGATGCCAGAGAGATTATCTAGGGGCAATGGGGACATTTAGAGATCTCTCTTGGCCAGAAAGTCAGCCCTGGGAGAGGGGGAGTGGGCTTCCCCAGGACTCACACAGTGGGTTTGAAGTAACCGCACACTTACACATGGTTGATTTATAAAGGTTGTATTCTCCTAAATTATAAATTAAAGTGCTTAGTTCAGCATATTTGATAAACTCAAATCTTGAATGAAAGGAAGGAATGAAGAAAAAAGGAGAGTGAAGACGGAGGGGGAAAGAGATGAACAACAGTTATAAGTGCATCTTTGGTAAATAACTTGCTAATAACCATCCCCGCACTAACATATGTATGGAGTTTTTCAGTAATTCTTGATGAATAAAATTGCCCATACCTCTTGACCCAGTAGCCTGACTGCCCTTGAGATTGTTTTCTATGGTTAAGATTTAAATAGAGCAGAAACATACAGAATAATGTTGATTGCAACATCATCTGTAACAGTTAATTTTTATTTTTGGAGGTTTTTGCTATAGGGTGCGTGCGCTCACCAAAAAGACAGAGAGAGACAGAGGGATAGAAAGCAATAAATCACCCCCCAAGGGGGATGGCCATGCCACAATCCCTTCTCCTCCATTCTCCTCTCGGGATCTTGAGCACGCACGCACACGCACCCAGCATGAGTTTAAGCCACCAGGTCTGGGACTCGAACTGCAGTCGACTACATGGGAATCCAGCAACATAGCCATTACGTCAACTGCTGGTTTCAACAGTTAAAAATAAAATAAAAAAGATCTAGTAGTCCAAAAAATAATGATCATGCTCCCTGAGAAACTTTCCCTATGAGAGGTGACTCTTTAAAATTAGTGGCTCCAACCCTGGGGTTCTTGGACTTAGAGATTTGTAAGGATAAGAATAGAATGATATAGAACCAGCTCCATATTTTGGGGTTAGCAAATGGCATAGTGGTTAACGTGCTGGACTCCCACATAGCCAACTGGGGTTTAAGTCATGGACCTTGTGTCTTGAAAATCACACTGGGCGCATGTGCATATGTGTCCAAAACCCCAGGAGGAGAATGGAGGAGAAGGGATTGTGGCATGGCCATCCCCCTGGGGGTTGGGGGGATGATTTCTTACTTTTCCTCTCATTGCCTCTCTGTCTCTCTCCAGTAAGCACATGTGCCCTATGACAAAAAATTAAACAAAGAAACTTTTAAAACACGGGAGAAATAACTATGATATCACTATGATGATTATATTATAAAAATGTTTCTGATACCATGTCAAGCTTTAAAAAAAGATAAATAGTATTGCAGCTTTTACTATAAGCATGTAAAATATGTATCTCTAACTGGAAGGTAATATGAAAATACTGTCAGTGACAAGAAATTGTAAGAGTGTTTTCCTTCAGAAATACTTAAGAAGATGTCATAGATCTTTTTGATAGAAAAATAAAGGAAAAAGCAATTTTTGGTTTAGAAAAGTGAGAAAAAATGGGGTAAGGATGTGTTATAAACTAGTCTGTAACACTAGTCCTGTTGTTGACTTCCGTGCTCTTTCAGTCTCCTCTTTATGCCCCCTCCCTTCTCCAGGCACCTTCATCACTTCCTTAACTCCTTCCCAAAGCCTGCCAGACCACCATTTCTGAAAGGCTTACTCAGAGGGCTCCAGCCAGGCTCTGCCCAGCTGACATACCCTTGATTAAGGCAGTCGGTAGTCCACAAGTGTCTATCACCATGGATCCTTTACTAACAACCGCCATTTGAATAATATCGTCTAGCAATCAAACTGCATTCCTTAAGTAATAATATCCATTTATCAAAGGCACCCATGACTATCAATCGGTGCTTCTCAACAGTGTGAAATTGAAGCCCTGTAAACTGATAGAACCCAATGAAGATTTGTGTGCAGCTGTGAAGCCTTGCTTGCCAGTCGATGTAATGCATGACAAGAGCTGCAGAGATCTTGGGGGACTTCGAGCTGGGGAGGGGTGACTTAAGGTGCCTCCATTACCAAAACATCTGTATTTTCATTAATGGTAAGCTTGTCTGAAACCAGAGGAATGAATGAATGTGGTAGGAGTTCAAGTAACTGGATGCCAGAGAGATTATCTAGGGGCAATGGGGACATTTAGAGATCTCTCTTGGCCAGAAAGTCAGCCCTGGGAGAGGGGGAGTGGGCTTCCCCAGGACTCACACAGTGGGTTTGAAGTAACCGCACACTTACACATGGTTGATTTGAGGCAGGTGTGAGGCTGGTATGGCTGCGACCACCAGAATTCCCTTTGCTTCCTACGCAAAAAAGAAATATACTGTGAGGGGGAGACAAAACCAATCCAGATTAACCTAGGTGGAACAGAACCATGACAACCACAGACAGATGTTTCCTAGAATTCAGCTGCCTCAATCCAAGTGAAAGGGTGACTGCTTCTCCATCTCATTGTTCATGAGATATTTTCAGAGCAAATGTGAAAGTTTTTCAGAATCAAAATGGAGTCATTTGGGGCCAAATAGTGGTTAGGGAGGTTCAAGTCCTGGACCCAGAGGCCTTAAAGACAAATCAGGCGTGTGTATGTGCATGGCCAAAATCCTGAGAGGAGAATGGAAGAGAAGGGATTGCTGCATAGCCTACCCTCCTGAGGGAGGATAATTTCTCTCACTTTCCCTCTTTCGGTTTCTGTCTCTTTCTGCTATGGTAAAAAAATCTAAAATAAATAAATAAAATCATTTTTTAAAAAAATGGAGTCATTTGTTTCAGCCCTGACTACATTACTGGGCCAGCAAGGCCATGGAAGAGGTGGTTACCTCCTTAAGTAACTATCCTACTGTTAGGACATTGCTTCAAATTTCACTGAGGAAACAAGAGAGGGTGGGGAAACTTCCACAAGCTCCTACCATATCCCCCACCCTCACTGTGTTCACATACTCTGCCTCCTCCCACCCCAGGTCTTATTGTGATGGATGAGCTGTCTATGGTCCTATCTCAGGACAGCCTCACTCCTATATTCTAGAACTTATCTCCTTCTGCCTGCTCAGGGACATCAACAACAGCAGTTCTCTTCTCTTTCTCCTATGTCATAAAAAGTTTCCTCTCACTGAATTATTCCCATTAGCATTATTATGCCCACTCCATCTAAAATATTCTCACTTGGGCCAGCCCATGGCCTTGTGGTTAAGGGAGCCAGATTCTACACAGCTGAATGTGTAGTTCAAATTCCGGCCTCAACAGCTTGAACTAGGTGCATGTGCATGCATGCCTCAACCCTTGACAGGATAGAGAAATAGAGAAGGGACTGCAGTTTGACCAGGACTCATGCTTTCTTCCTCTCTCTCTCTCTCTCTCTTTATGGTGAGTACACATATTCTCTGGGAAAAAAAACAAACAAACAAAACAAAAAAAAAACCTCTCAAACTACTCCATTTGCTCTAGTTATTCTGAATTGTTCTGCCCTGCTTTATACCAAAATGTCTCTAAGAGTTTTCTATGCTCAGTCATTAATTTCTTCAAATCCCACTCTAGTAAGGAGTTTGGTTCCACTGAACATACTCACTGGAGAGACGAAGAAAGAGACAGCAGGGTGAAAGTGGGGGTGACCATGCTGCAATTTCTTCTCCATTTTCCTCCTGGGATTTTCAGCGTGCATGCACATACAGCAGGCATGATTTTCAAGCCGCTAGGTCCAGGACTCTAACTGTGGGAATTCAGCTCCTTAATTACCACATCTGCTTGGGCCCCCACAGAAATCAGTTTTATCAAGAACATCAATGACCGCCATATTGCTAAATTCAATGGTCAGTTCTCAGTCCTCTCAGAAGTAGTTGACAAGGACACAAGATAGTCTTGATTTTCATCCTGTCTCAATGGTCATTTCTTCTCAATCTTTACTGGTTCCTTTTCTTTGTCTTGATTTCTTAATATCAGTTGAGCTGAGCCTTGGACCTCTTCTCCTTTCCTATTTTTTTTTTCTTTTGTATTTACTGTACGGTGCATGCACTCACCAGAGAGAGACGGAGAGAGAAGGTAAGTGAGAAACCACCACCCAAGGGGATGGTCATGCTGCAATTTCTTCTCCTCCGTTTTTATCCTGGGATTTTGGGCATGCATGCACTTCCACCCAATGAGTTTCAAGCTCTCTGGTCTAGGACTTGAACTGTGTAGTCAGTCATACAGAATCCAGCCACCTTAGTCACCATGCCACCAGCTGCCCCAGATCTCTTCTTTCTATCTTCATTCACTCCCCTGCTGATTTCATAGAATCTCAGTAATACAAGGTGAGAGTGGTGGGTTGGGAGTTCAACTCAGCCTTGAAAGACTAGCCTTTTTGTCTTAGTCTGGGCTGCTATAACAAAAACCATAAATTGGGTAGCTTACAAACAACAGAAATTTATTGTTCATGGTTCTAGAGTCTGGGGAGTTCAAGATCAAGACACTGAAAGATTTGGTATCTGGTGAGGGCTCACTCTCTGTTTCATAGAACCACACCTTCTATAATGGCTATGCCTTCACATAGGAGAGGGGGCACACAAGCTCCTTTGGCCTTTTTTTTATAAGGTTACAATGTCATTCATGAAGGCTCTGCCTGCATGATCTTATTACCACATAAATATCCATCTCTCTCTCTCTCTCTCTTTCTCTCTCTCTCTCTCTTTTTAAGGTTTTTGCCATAGTGTGTGTGCACTTGTCAGAGAGAGACAGGGAAAGGGAAAGTGAGGAATCCCCCATGCACCCCCCACACACACACCCCGCCCAGGGGGATGGCCACACCACAATCCCTCTCCTCCATTCTCCTAAGATTTTAGGCATGCACGCACACACGCACACTGTGAGTTTCAAGGTACCAAGTCCAGGACTAGAAACACAGTTGACTATGTAGGAGCTCAGCACCTTAACCACTATGCCACCTTCTGGCCCTGATAAATGCCTATCTCTTAATAGTATTGTACTGGGGATTAGGTTTTTTGTTTTTTTATTTTTGGGGGTTTTTTTTGGAGAGGTTTTCGCTATAGGGTGCATGTGCTCGCCAGACAGACAGAGAGAGACATAGAGACAGAAAGCGAGAAATCATCCCCCCAGGGGGGATGGTCACGCCGCAATCCCTTCTCCTCCATTCTCCTCTCGGGATCTTGGGCATGCACGCACATGTGCCCAGCGTGAGTTTTAAGCCACAGGGTCTGGAACGCGAACTGCGGTTGACTACGTGGGAGTCCAGCGACACAGCCATTACGCTAACTGCTGGTTCCCCTGGGGATTAGGTTTTGACATCCAATTTTTTTTCTTCAGGGAATCACAAACATTCAGATCATAGCACTTTTTAAGTTTAATTTAGTTTACCAGACGTTTTCCTCTCTTCTGGCTGATATGATTATTCTGGTCTCCTTGATATTTAAGATGCTTAGGGTATATCAATAAGTTGACATTTGGGTGAGAAACCAGTGGGTGTGTATATTTGTCCATCTGCTTGTCTCTCTTTATCTCATCTTAAATGCAGAAACAGAGGCCTTAGAAAAAACATTTTTGTTCCTGATGACCCATTCCTGAGTCTAGGAGCAATGAATTTTTCCTACCTCTTCAGAAGATGGTTTGAAGGGATTAGCCCAGCACAGGAAGCAAGGTCTGAAATTTTTCGGGCCTGCCACCAGAGGGCATCATTCTGGTCCACAATCTGGAGGATATCCCCCTTCCGGAACTGCAATCCAGCATCCATGCAAGGGATGGCAGGATCCTCCTGGGGCCAGTACTCAGTCATGGCACGCACGTACACCTGAAGGCAGGCAGGTACATAATGGTGCCATTAGAAAAAGACTTGAAACCCTTTCTCCCAATCCTCCACCTACTTCTACCTTTCCTTTCCACCCTCACCAAACCAGAGAACGTGCTTCCTGAACTGAGTTCTAAGTACTATGAAAAGAAGTGTCCTTGGGAATAGGATCTCCTAGTTCTGAGAAATGTTTCACCATTTTTGATATTGCTTCTTGACTTCTTGGTACCCCATTTCCTTTTATTGTATTCATTTACTCATCTTGTCTCTCAATTCGTTAGTATTGAAAAATACCCAATACAGTATTGAACACTTGTCTGACACACTGTAGAAGACAGTAACATTATGCATGTAGTCATTGTTTTTGTTATTTGAGGATTCATTGCATAAGCCTGAAGGGTTAATTAGTAAATTCTTACCGGCTTCTGGTTATTCACAGGAGGGTCAGAAACTGGAACCACCTTGAACATGATTGTACCACGAGACATAGCCTAAGCAATGACCAGGGAGCAGAATGACAAATCATGGATTAGGATTACTGGGGATCTAAGGATGGAGCTCCAATTGAAAGTGTCCATGCCTAATGTTGAACTCCCCCTCAGAGACTTTCTCAAGGGTTTAATTGTCACCATCCAGAAATGGAATATAGAAAGCAATTTAGCTCTGTGTCACTCTGCTAAAGTCTACCTGGAGGTGGCCCCTCCCAGCGACCTTTGTCTCACTGCTGATAAAAATACGCCACCCAGCAAGGTCTTCTTCCCATAGACCGCAGGGAAGAGATGAGAGCTCTGACTTTCCCTCCTCACCCTCAGTTAGTGTTTCCTGAACACCTGTTTCTGCACCAGAAACCCCAGTCTTAAGGGGGAAGATGAATGGCTCTTAATTTTTTTTTTATAAAAACTGACAAGCTTCCAACTAATTCTGGAAATGGGGAGCCCCTCAAACTGATAGAGCAAACATGAAACCTCACTGACGGGGGTGGTAAGAATCCCCCGTTACATACACTCATAACCATTATTGATCCCAAGATGAATAAGATGTCATTGCTACTCTTAGGAATTCCACAATCCTGCTATCCTGACAACTCCACATAAGATAACAGGAGGACTGACATGGGGGGTTGCACATCTATGGTCTACGGTACTTCCCTATACAGCTCCTAGCATACCACATAGAACCTTGTAGCAGTGGCTTGCAAAATATTTAGGTGCTTGCTATACTTTTTATAGCACTCCCCTTCACCTCAGTCTCTAAGCTATAGCTATGAAAACCTAGAGCTCCCCTGGGAACCCAGTTGAAGAACCATTGGTCTATGTAATATATATATAAACCTCAGGCCCCACACTTGAGAGGGGTAAACAGGTGGTAGTATGCTGTTATGGCTATTAACAGATAAGTGTTTCAGGGGATGGTTTGAGGGGTGGAAATGGGAACCCAAGAAAGACCACAGGCTTACATAATCAACTAATCAGTAAATCCCTACTTCCAGACTAGCCTCAAAGCCCAGTGGTTAAGGGAGCTGGATCTTACATGACCAACTGTGGTTCTGGCCCCAGAACCTTGAAAAATATACCGAACACCATATACATGCACGCTCAGGTCACAATAGGATGGAGAAATGGAGAAGGGACTGCAGCATTACTACGTAAGAGTAAGCAGGTGCTTTCTCACACCTCTCCCTCTCTTTGTCTGCCATGCACCCTCTGGAAATTAGAAAAAAAATCTAGTTCCAACCAAGGAAGAGTGGCAAGGCTGGCAAGGATGCCCCCTCTCCATATGCTGTTCTCTGGTGACTTCTTTCTTGCCCCTAAGTTGCCCCCAAGAAGAGGTTAAACAGATGTTACTGTATGAAAGTATTAGGAGAGCAAAGGGTGGATTGTTCAGGTTCAACTTGCCTCCAAAGTCTCAGTCTGCCCACCCAGGCTTCGCTTCCAATGGAGCAACTAAGGTGATGAGGGATATGAGCTGGGAAACCTGGCAGTGTTCCTGAGGCTGCAGGAGTGGCTTGGGAAGAATGATTCCCAGTCAGGGCCAGGACAACTGGAAGGATGAAGGAGCGAGGTCAACAAGCTATATGGCAGTAGACAAGGTCTGGGTCCTGGAGAGGGGCTGCTGAGTGGGACCCAGATCTCCATCACAGTACAGTGCACACATGAAAGCTTGGCCAGTCCAGTTCAACCTTAGGATTTCAGTAAGTCATGAACAAAAAGGCAAAGAGAAGATGTTACCAGAATATGGATCACTTGCTCAGGATCCAGTCCTTCAACTGAAATTCCATTCACTTCAACCAATTTGTCTCCAGCATATAACAACCCTAGGCAAAAAGGAACACAAAATAAAGAAAGGTACAAGGAAACAGGAGGAAAAAATAAAGGCAGCTATCCCAATACTTATAGCTGGCTAACCCAAGCACGCTCTAAAACTTTTCAATTTGTTATGAAATAATAATAATAAAGCAAACTGGTTATTCCAACCTACATGGGCACGAGAAATGTCTGGGCATTCCATTTTCCCACATCTTCGCCAACAGTTGGCATTAACTGATGGTGATATTTTTGCTAATCTGATGTAGTAAAATGGAACCAGAACACACTGGTAAGAAGATAACAATAGAAACAGAGAAGTCAGGGTCATTGAGTAAATGATAAATGAAAAGGAAAAAGAAAGGTTAGTGCACTAAAACAAAATGTGGAAAAACCTGGAAGTTAAGATTAAGCCTTGAGAAAGCTGAGGCAAAACAGAGAGAGAAGACAAGAAGCTGGATGATGTCATGGAACAAAACCCAAGGACAATGACAATTTCAAGAAAAGTATCAATAGCAGTAAATACCTGTGGTAAAGGAGTGAAAATAAAACTGAGGGAAAAGGAAGGACCAATGGATTTAGCAACTAGGAAATCCTTGCTATTTACAAGAAGGTAGGGGTGTAAAACGTGTGAGCTTCACAGGCTGCGGGGTGGTGAGGACATGGGGTTATGGGCAGCAGGAAGAGAATCACTCATTTCAGAAACAAAAGCAGCAAAAGGACAAATTTTGGCCTCTCATAGAAAGAGAAAGCATGAGGCATTTCAAGATGTGGAACAGCCTATGCTTTTTTGAAAGTGAAAGGAACAAGTAGAGAAAAAAAGTTAGGAACATAGAGTTGAATCCTGGCTCAAATGGTGTAATCTTGAGTACATTAATTATTTAATCTCATTGAGCCTTAATTTTCTCAATGATTAAGTGGCATAATAATACTTACCTCGTTTGGTTACATGATAAAGTCAACTGAGAGAATATTAATATAGTGCCTAGAAAGGGAAGGACTCAATAATATGTCTCTGGAAAGCCCTGATCTCAATTAGGAAAGAGGAGTTTCTCCAGAAAAAAGACTAAACGATCAAGGGCCTCCTGTTTTTCTAGTGATACTTGTATCCCGCTGCTCCAGCTTACCACTCCTCTCAGCCAACCCTCCATGGATGACTCTGGCCACCAGGATGTCCCCTGTCATCTCATGACGTTTGATGGTAGCTCCCTGAAGAGAGAATACAACGGAATCCCTCTTTTACCTAACATGACCATTATTTGGTGGCTCCCCAAGTCAATGCAGCTCTGGTATTTCAGATGAAGCTTTTCATATCAACCAGGGAGAGGGAGGCCATGCAGTTTCCTGTGGTCCTTTCAGACATATCATGCTATCAAAAAAAAAAAAAAAGACCAGGGGCCAGCAGATGATGTAAGGATTATGGCACTGGACTCCCCGTATGGCTAACCATGGTTCAGGTCCCAGGCCTGGTGGCTTGAAAATCACACTGGGCACATGCATGTGCATTCCCAAGATTCCAGAAGGAGCATGGAGGAGAAGGGATTGTGGGGTGGCCATCTCCCCTGGGCGTGATTTCTCACTTTCCCTCTCACCCCCTTTGTTTCTCTGTCCAGTGAGCACATGCGCCCTAAGGCAACAACCTCTTAAAAAGAGAAACACTAAACAGAAATCTTTCCTTAGTGAAAACATCACAAAGGGACCTACAGATAGCATAATGGTTATGTCACTGGACTCCCTTGTAGTTGACCATGGTTCAAGTCCCAGACTTGGTGGCATTTGTGTGTGTGCCCAAAAAAATCCCAAGAGGAAAATGTGGTGCTGGACTCATGCATGGATTAATGCTGTCTCAGGAGAGGCTGAGTCTAGTTCTCCTGAGGAGCGTTAGTTCTTGAGAAAGTGGAATGCAATTTCTCTCTGTGTATGCCAGCCAATCTCCCTGCTTCTGCTGACCATGTTGTAAGCTGGCCTGATGTCAGTCTTATACCTTTCGATTTTTCAGCCACCAGAATCATGAGTCAAATAAACCTCTACTCTTTACAAACCATTCAGATATTTCTGTTAGCAGTGCGATAACAAACTAGTACAAAGAGAATCTACTCAAGTAACTAGATGAAACTTAGTTTACAATTAAACCCATATAATTCTAAATGAAAAGTTAAAAAGAGTTTCTTACCAGGGGCTGTTGGTTTTTAACCAAACAAACAATCCTCATTGCTTCCTCACTCTCAGGAATATTGTCTGGCAGTGGGGGGAGAAGAGGTTCAAAATCTTTCTGAGCTACTGTGTCATGAGCACTGAGCAAGGCCTGGAAACAGAAAAGGAAAAAGGGAACAAATGTCATGCATGGGATACAGCTATATAGAAGCTGGCGACTCAGCACTTTGTAAGATATACATTAGACACCAAGATGTACACATGCCAGGCATAATTATAAGCATATTATGTGGATTAATTTGATCTTTACAATAATTCTATGAGTCAGGTATATTTATTGTATCCAATAGACAGGTAAGAAAACAAGGCACAGGGGCCAGACAGTGCTACAGTGATAACACAATGTTCTGTGAGTCCAACCCACGTGGAAGAGTTCTAGGTTGGCAGCCAGAGACCTCTCTAAGCATGCCAAGCATGGGTATATCCATGATCCAGGACTGGCTGAGGCTGGGGGTGGATCAGGTGTGAAGACTCTGTTGGAGGGATCAGCAGATGGCATAACAGTTATGTTGCTGGACTTTCACATAGTTGACCGCAGTTCAAGTCCCTGACCCAGCAGCTTAAAACTCATGCTGGGCGCATGTGCATGCGTGCCCAAAATCCCTAGAGGAGAATGGAAGAGAAGGGATTGCGGCATGGCAATCTCCTAGGGGAGGTGGGGTGCGGGGGTGATATCTCACTTTCTGTCTCTCTTGCAAGTGCACGTTCCCTATGGGGGAAAAAAAAAATCTGTTGAAGATGCCTGTCTCTCTCTCTCTCTGTGTCTCTCTCACACACGGAAGAAAGAAACTTCTAAAAAAGAAAAGAAAAGGAAACAAGGTACAGAGCATAATATATTTTCTCAGTTTTGCTAAAATGTACTATTTCATGACATCCTCATTTTCTGGAATGCCATGTAATCTGTGGTGATCCTATGGCGTTTGAAGTACAAAATAACTGGAGTGATATTTTCCCTAATTAAAGCAGAATGTGGGGCAACTAAAAAATCTTGCTGGTTTAATTCATTAGTAATATCCAAGGGTCTGTGCAGAGCAGAACTGAGAAAGTAAGTCCTGGTTTAAGATAGGATCAAAGAGTTCTTTATAATAGTCCATTATTTTAAAGTTTTACTTCCTGGGACAGGGAAGTTGTCATTCTACAGCCCTGCCTGAAAATATCAGTGGACAGAATTTAGTTGAAACTCACAGAAAGTTCTCTAGATAGTGCTTGCTGTTATCACTGGGCATTTGATAACCAAAGGTTTTCTTATGAACTGAAATGTTAAACTCATAAATTCCATTCCTCCAAATGCAGGCATCTAAAAGATGTAGTTTCTTGATAAACTGATCCCTAAATCTGTAAGTACTAAGAGATAGGTTTCTGTTTTGCAACCAAATGTTCTTCATATTCTCCCTCACGTGGATTGCCATCATTAGACCATATTATCCGAACATCTTCACATACTTTATCCAAAACTTAAAATATTCTCAAGTTAAAAGGAAGTAGGGAGGTTATTTCTCTATAACTAGAAGCTATTCCGATTGCCACTCTCTATCCCTAAAGAACTTAACAGAGACAATGATTTAGTAGAAGAAACAATACACTATGGAAAGTTCTGGTTGCCTCCTATAAATATAGCAGGCTCGGTTTCATGATCGACCACACTGAGCCAGTCACATGTGAGTCTCACATATTTATGTGCAACCTGTTGGTCGCCCATGTAGAGTAACAGAACATTTATTCAGAAAGCACATTTTCTATCACGGTTATTTGTTTTTCCCAACTTTGTCTAAGTGCCAGATGGATACATCTTTTCTATTTCAGCAGTACTTACCTTAAAGTGTGGACCCCGGAGGATTCGTCTCAGCTCTCGGGTTTCAGGGGATTTATGGATTCCACGTAACAACTCCATAACCTAGTTTATGGAAAAAACGTCCATTATGAAATTAAAAAAAAAAAAATCTTCATCATCTAGTTAGCCTCATCGAGGCTGGATAACACATATTTACATAAATGATAAAGTTTCATTTGGAGATTTCAAAACGGAGAATGCTTTTAGCAAATTCTAATGGCTTAGATCTTAAAGTGTTATTGTCCATTGTTAGTTATGAAACCACTTACCTTGTTTTTGATCTAAAAATGTTAACACTTGAATCTAACACATTTGTTTCTCCTAGAAAAGTTCTTTGGCGTTCAGGTAAAAGCAGCATTTTCAAATTAGTCACCTACATCACACCAAAGTGACTAATTTTTAAATCATCAGTTAATGTAACCCAGAGATATTGATGGCCTTGATACATAATTTAGTCTTGTCATTATTCCAGAGAGTGTGGAATTCAGGACTTTCTTGAGCATCACCTGATCCTGTTTTTTTTTTTTTTTTTTTTTTTTTTTTTTCCCCCAACGGCCCCTGCCATAATGTCATAGGCTGTTCGATTACGCTGAAAAAACAGCAGTGTGAAGGAAGAAGGGAAAACGAAGCAATAGAAAAATTCTTGATCGGAGCTCATATAATGGACCTCATAGAAACAAACCAATCATCTGTATAAAAGAGCTACAACCATCATTTTCTGCAAGTCTTCCAGTGACGTCTCACCTATTTCTTCTATTCTGTAATATAAAAGAGCGAACTTAGAGATATCCTTTATCTCACAGGGATGCATAATGCTTAAGACAATGGTTAAAAAGAAGAGAAGAGAGAAACCCACCATCTCTGCCATAAATCTGTGAGCCAAGAATGAAATAATGCACTCTCTGCCTGCCTGCTCCCCCGTGTTGCTCCAGCTTTGCGAGAGTGCCCACTGATCCTGCTCTCCTCAGTGGAGTGGCCTGCATTGACCTTTGCACATGGGCAGCTTGAGGTCCCAGGCCTGTGACTCTGGCGGGGGCTGAGCTACTTGTAGAAGCCCTCGTGACAGGGTAGAAGGGGTGGTAGTAACCCAGTTTGAAGGGCAGTGTCCTGGCAGGGGAGGCATTAGCCAAGGGGTGGATGGGCAGGGGCAGCTGGGGGCCACAGTAGGCTGGGAAGGTGGCTCTGCTGCTGTACCTGGTGAGGTAGCTGCAGCTGCCAGCCAGCATGGAGAGCTGGGGTGGTCAGCCATCCTGGCTTGTCCCAGGGCTCCTCGCCAGAGCTCCCTTTCTTTTTATCTTTAAAGTAGGGACCAAAATCCTTCCTTATTGAGGCCAGCAGTTGGTGTGGTGGTTGAGGGTGCTGGACTCCCACATGGCCTACAGTGGTACAAGTCTCTTTTCTCACCTTTTCTCTCACTTGCTCTGTCCCTCTCTAGTCAAATTTAAATTAATTAATTAAGTTAAATAATAATACTTTTCTTTTTTCAGTCTGAAAACAGTCACTCTGTTTATTTACCGTCCAGATTACGAAAATAATCATGGTGGATACCTTTAGTTCATCCTTCCAATAAGTCTGTGGATCTGTTTTTCTCTATTGCCAGCATCTCCACCTTCTACAAAATAGGTGGTCTTTTTCTTTATTCCACCTCGTGGAGAAGATCATTTGAAGGGCCACAGGAAGTTATTTGCTTCTTTGAAGCATTTTCCAACAGCATAGATTTCATGAATCAGATCCTCCATGCAGATGATGCCGAATTTACTAAGAGATCGCGCAATCAAAGAGTTATCTGTCAAAGCAATTCGCTTTTCATTGATTTTGCGATAACCACGTTTGTAGATCAGTTCATTTACTGACTTCAGGTTTGGGTACCCCCATGCAATATATGGTTCCACAATTCTCAGCATGTTAATTGAGGCCTTGTTGAGCTTAACAAAGGTGCCACTGATGATCTGGCAAAGACGAAGAAGCTCCAACACCTCTCGAACCTTTGGGCTCACTGCATTGATACCTCTGATCCTGATGACAAATGCCAGTTTGGGTTCTGCAGGTACATAGAAGTTGCCAGTTCTTCTGGCCATCCAGACCATGCGAATCTCAGTTCTGTTCATCTGTCTATATTCCTTATGATAGTGCTTAGCTTTTTCATAGATAAGCTTCCTCCTTGCCTTTTGAAGCATCTTTTGAGCAAACTTTTTTTCTTGGGTACTTGATCTTCGGTTCCACAGAATTCTTTAGCTTTTTCTTAAGGGTTTCTGGCACAAGAACCTTTTTCTTGGTGGCATCCACTGCAGCAGGAGCCTTGTTCTTGGTTTCTGCTGCAGCAAGAACCTTCTTTTTCTTCTCTTCAATGCCCTCCATGGTTCCAGCCAGAAAAGAGGAAATTCAGTAAAACAATTATTTTTTTTTTTTTTTTTTTTTTTTCTTTTGGGCAACTTTTCTTCCC